AAATTTGAAAATGTTGTTAATAAATATACTTTTTGGAACAAAATAGTTTTGTGACTTTTTTTTTTTAATTCATTATTAAATGTCCAATTTTATTATTAAAACAATGATATTTTTTTGACAATTAAAATATTTAGTCCCTAGAGTGATGCAAACACATTGTTATGGTTGATAGACAAATGATGGTACAAATATGATTAAAACATTTGGGGTAAATTGGAAAAACAAAAAAAAAACTCTTCAGTGTTTGACCTTTGTAGAAAAATAAATTATGAATTTTTAATTTTATCAATTTAAATTCTAAATTTTTTATTTGTTTTCAATATGAACCATTTGCTTATTTTCATTAAATAAAATCAACGAAAGATTGGTATTTTAATCATTAAACTCAATAAAAATGGAGATTTTAAACATTTTATGTATGCTTATATTGAGTCCAATGACTAAAATAATTTTCGTTGATTTTAGTTAGCGAAAACAGGCAACTGATTTAAATTAAAAATCCATGACTTACTTTGTTACAATGGTCAAACACTAGTTTTTTCCCCCTAATTGTCCCAAACTTTGTTAGGTAATTTGATAGACAAATGATGACCCACTTACTGTATTTTACAATTTCTAATTTATGACAATCACTACATAAATAATACATATGATACTTTAGGACTACATAACAAATTTCCCTATCCTTTTCATACCATAATCTTCCATACTTCTCTATACTTTATTTGTGGTCATTATTCTAAACCGATGATTAAAACCATTCATCTCTCCAATCTCGTAGTGAAGATCATTTGTGTAAAAAATCAACTTCATTAGATATCAATGAATAGATGAACAAAATTGCCTTTTTGTTTTATAAAATTGACAATTTAAATTTATACTCATAGTTGTCATTCATTTAAAAAAATAAAATTTAACTTGTTCATATGTTTAGTGATATTTGATGAAATTGATTTTTTATGCAATTTATTTTTATTATTGAGTATATGAGATGAACGGTTCAGATCATCATTATGGACTCGTAATGAAACTCACAAAATAAAGTATGAACAAAATATAGAGGTTAGTGGTATGGAGAGAAACTATTCACCATTAACATGGATTTAAAAAGAATAAATTAAAAAAAGAACAGAAAAGAAAAGGAATTACCCTGCAAGGTGTAGGAATTATAAAATTGGGTGCAACTCAAACACTATGAAGGCTGAGTTGTACCTCTTTATATTTGTGTAATTTTTTTATTTTTATTTTTTTAATCTCTGTTATGTGATTCTCTTATACTATGTTTGGTTGGGGGATTTAAAGAGAAATTTGGAAAAAGAAATAGAAAATGTAGGTGAAATGTGAATAAAATATACCTATATTTTACTTAGTTTCACACATATTTTTCCTTTCTCTTTCCAAATATCTTTCTAAATCTCCCAACTAAACACAACATTAAAAATAAAAAAAATAAAAAAAATGCTAGTTTTGTGCACCACGTACCATACCACTCTTTTGATCACCCCATTCTTAAGCTTTGACATCACATGTGCTCCAATGTTAGAAAGTGCCTCCTCCTCTACTGTCCTAATGGGTTTTTGCTTCGTTACCAAACAATGGCAATCGCAAGTGCACCCAACAATTTGGGGAGGGGTAGTATGGGCTTTAAAATTGTGAATATTATTAATTTTTTAAGATGGTAAATGATAAAAAATAAATATTAAATTGAACATTTAATAATAAAAAATAAATTAAACTAATGATGGCACCTTCAAAAATTTTTAACTTTTTCATTACAGTAGAAAATGTACAACCATTTTTATAATTAATATTCTTTATAAAAGTCTGATTCGTATAAATGTAAGTCATTTTTTATAACGTTGTTAATTAACGTCTCTTAAATTACTAGTTAACAAAATCTGGAAAAAATTGAGACTCATCACAACACATGAAACACCACATAAAAATATGAATAGTTTGGGTGAAATATTCCAATAATTTCGCTACCCCCTTAAACTTTTGAAAATTTCTATTAATATAAAAAATTTATAATAATAATGTGACACTGTCATTATTGTAAATAAATTAATCTTTAATTATGTTTCATTTTAAGTGAATTGTCTACAATAAATCACATTATCATGTATGAATTTTTTATTTGTATAACATTATTCTAAAATTTTAAACCAACTTATGTGTGATTGATATAAATTATTGCCACATAGTTCTTTGGAACTATGAGATAATTAGCCGGGTAATGCTAGGGACACCAAATTTTCTACCAAACAAATGACCAAATGTGTGGGGTTTGACCCCACACCCATGTGAGACATTTGGTCATTTGTTTGGTAGAAAATTTGGGACCACTAGCATTTTCCCCTAATGTAAAGACAAGTGCAAGAATAATGCTAATTTATCACGGACAGGTTTGGTGTTCAAAATTTGTTTTCTAATCACAATTAATGCAAATGCTATAAGAGATAACAAACAACCCATTAATTGAATCAATAATAGTTGGTTGGTATGAATTTTTACCAAAAACAAATGCAAATTTAATATGGAGAGATTTGGTGTTTAAAATTTGAGAAAAGTGAAGTACACATAATCAATTATAGAGGAGACGCAAAGGGTGGGTTCAATCTATGTGGGACTTACGTGTAGAACTCACAATTTGTATCTTGTTTGCTTTGATTATGTGCACAATTTATGTGTTTGTAGCAAGCTCTTAAAATTTATTTTGTGACCACAATTAGTGTAAATACGAGAAGATACCATCAACAAGCTAATTAATTGCATCATTAAAAATTAAACAACCATTGATTTGAGGGATTCGGCGAAATAGTTAAAGCTTCTCTTAGTTAATTTGTTTCAAAACTAAATAGTTAATGCTTCTCTTATAGTGGCCTAACAATGCCTTTGATTTGAGGGATTCGGTGAAAAAATAAAATAAATTAAATCCATTTTAAATTTAGGTGAATTTGGTCAAAAACCGTATACTATGACGAGGCTTATATTTTCTTTAAGATTTAGCTAAAAACTAATTTATTAGATACATTATTATTATTATTTTAATTTCTAATAAATTTGTTTTTTAAAGTGGCTTAAGGACAGGAATGAATTTGCTAAACAAATTTAAAAAGTTTAGTAAATTTTTTGGGGTCAATTAAAAAAAACTTCGTTTTCATATTGTTTTGGGACAGTTTTAAGGGCTGAAACTTCTGATTAAAAGCTACCCAAAGGTGGAGGGGTTAATCCCCCTTGCTTGAACCTTATTCCTAGCTTAAATCCTTGTATTTCCCGCTTGTTTTCTTTAATTTTTATCATCATTTTGGGACTGATTTGTTTGAATTTTGGAATTTTTTTTTAAACATAAAGAAAATATTTTAAATAAAAAAATTTATAAAATATTATTTAGAGTGAAATATCAATGATATTTTTAAAATTATGAGAATAATAATGGTTGTTTTTTTTTATTGAAAATAAAGATATTACGATAAGTCATATTATTATCTATGAAAATTTCAATACAATTGTGATGTCTATCATTATTGACATTCAATTATAATTAATCTCAATAAAAATTTGGAGTTTATTGAATTGTTAGGTACATTTGACATGTGGGGTTTATCCTCTATGTGTTTTTTTATTATTGGTTGGTGATATTATATGTCAATAATGACGTGATATTACTATTATATTAAATTTTTATTGAAATTTTGTATAAAAAATTAATTTATCATTATATAATTTATTTTAAACTTATATCCATGACTTTTTTTATTTTATTTTATATATTGTCCATGATATACTAATTATAAATAATATATATATATATATATATATATATATTTATCTTTCTTGAAGTCAATTGTAAAAATTTATACGAAATATTTTGTAAAAATTTTCAGTATTATAATTAATAAGTGCCCCCTCTGATTTAATTTCTTGGTTTCGCCACTGGTTACGGAAGATGCATCATACAAAAAAGATTTAGCTACAAATTATTGTAATTATATTATTAATATTTAAATATATGAATTATTTTAGTCAAAAAAGTTATGAATCATTATGATTTTGTTATGAATTATTATAGTGTAGTTACAAAAGAACATACAGTATACCCCTTTCAAGATATGTACTATAATTTTTCACTTCCCTTAATTATTTTTCACATTAGTATAAAAAAAATTAGATACATAGTATAATATACATTTATGTATCTAATAAATTATGTGATATTATTTATAATTTACATTATTTTAACAATGAATCATTAAAGTTCAAGTTATTATAACATATTTAAAATATTCCCATTATTTATTAGTTTATTTTTAATAATAATTTATTTATTTTAATAATTATTTAAGTCGTTTAAATATATTTTGATCTAACCTTTTGAATTTGTCCAAATATATTTCTTTCAGCCCCCCTATAATAGGATGTCGACTCCGTCCCTGCAAGTTGTTGCTTTGTTTTATGGTAATAATATCTTTATTTAGTAATTTCATTTGTATTTTGTCTCCGTTATGTTAGTGACAAAGTACAATGAGATCATCAGATAATAAAAAAATTAACTATAACAAAATAATACTTTTAGATAGTTGAATATTTTAAAGTTCAAATACTAAAATACAAATATATATATTTTTTTGGTACATCGAAAAGGAAAAATACAAATGCCATAATTAAATTTTTGTTATTATAATTCATTTAATAATTTTTTAATCAATAAATTAAGTTTTAAACCAAAACGGAATGAAATCTTAAATACCACATTTTTTTTAGAATCCAATCCATATTGTATTTTGTCTCATTCACGTGTACAAAAGCCACCGAACAACAAACCCCAACGTGCAATCCAAAGTGGGAACGAGTACGCTTGTGTTGTGATGCGCATTGCATGCCCCACCGTCACGTCACGCTCCCCCAAAAAATAAATTAAACGCTAACAAGTATTAACCATTAATTAATCAATTAATTAAACCACCAAATTTCCAATATTACGACTACGCCACCAATCAAAACCCCTCTCTTCTTTCACTCCGACAACACTACCGAGCGAAATTCTAGTGAGAGAGAGAGAGAGAGTGCGAAATTCTAGAAAGAGAAAGTGCACGAACCCAGACCTGTAACAATGGCGGCCTCTAGGTTTTTGTGAAGATTTCAATTTTTATTTTTTAATTTTTTTTTTAACAATGGAGATGCCTGGTAGACGATCGAATTACACTCTGTTGAGTCAGGTTCCGGACGACCACAACCACCAGCCGCCGGGCGGCGGAGCTGGTCCGTACTACGAGTCGTTGTCCGGGGAGAAGAACAAAGGAAAGGGAGGAGGAGAGAGAGGTTTTGATTGGGACTTGATTGATCACCGCCGGATCGGGGCGGCGTTTCAGGCTCCGATCGCGTTGCAGAGACAGTCGAGTGGGAGTAGCTTTGGCGAGAGTTCTATGTCTGGGGAGTTCTATGTGCCTTCTGTTGCTGATAGCCATAGCCACTTGCATGACGATGTGTTCAAGGTTGGCGGTGGTGGCGATTTCAGGTTCAAGGCGGCGGAGATTGGCGGTGGGGGGTCTTCGTCGTCGAGGAGCTGGGCGCAGCAGACGGAGGAGAGTTACCAATTGCAGCTGGCTTTGGCGCTTCGATTGTCATCCGAAGCTACTTGTGCTGATGATCCCAATTTCTTGGATCCAGTGCCAGATGAATCCGCATCACTCTCATTCGCTTCGTCTGATTCGGTTGAGTCTGTGTCCCACCGATTCTGGGTAGGGTTTATCATGCTCTTTCACCTTCATTTCATAAACAGTTGGGATTAAATTTCTTGTTTTGAGAAAGAATTTGAGGCGTACAATGTGAAATGTAGATGCTCTGTTTACATTTTCTTGATAAAATTGGGCTTTCTAATTGAATGAGGGAAAATAAGGAAAGATTTTTTATGTTATTTAATTACCGCTGCAATGAATGGGGAAAACTTGCCAATTTGAGTGAGAGTGAAACACATTGCTTTGCAGATGGGTTATTGGCCCTGATCTTAAAACCAAGTGCCTCAACTTTGATCCTCATCAATGCTCTGATAAACTATGCTATTTTAAAATTTCAATGTTCTCAATAACTATGCTGATACAAGTAACTAGCACATATCTATATTCACTTGATGTTATTCAGTTACAGAATGGGACCTGATGCACTAATCTAGGTTTTGTACTCCCCTTAACATGCTTAATAGAGACTATGAGAAGAGAAAGATTTAATGTTATTTATTTTTCTTTTGATTTTTAATTATTATTTTTAATTACTTTGGTTTCCAAGAAATGAATTATTGCCTTAATGAAGCCATATAGTCGTATAATAATCGGTTGAGTACATTCTTGAGTTTTCAGCTCTGCATGATAACAACCTCTTTGACTGACAATTTAAATTTCTGTAACTTTGTCTCATTTTATCAGCAATGAAATGGCTCACTAGAATCTAGATAAAGGTCAATAAATGAATTCGCACTCTTATGGTCTGTTCATTTTGTTCTGATGCTTGTAAGATTTTCTTTACATGATTTTTATATAATAAACGTGCCTTTTGACGTGCTGTTATTAAGTAATGTGTATTATAATGTGCATTAGGATTGATATACGATGCCTTCAAATTTAATATGCTTCAGGTGAATGGCTGCCTATCATACTCGGACAGAATTCCCGATGGGTTTTATTTAATTCATGGGATGGATCCGTATGTCTGGACTGTATGCACTAATCTGCAAGAGAATGGCCGTATTCCATCAATTGAATTGCTAAAGGCTGCTGATCCTAGAATCGATTCTTCAATTCAAGTAATTTTGATTGATCAGCATAGTGATCCTAGCTTAAAAGAACTACAGAACAGGATTCATCGGGTCTCCTGCAGTTGTGTCACTACAGAAGAAGTTGTTGACGAGCTTGCAAAGATCATCTGCAATCGCATGGGGTGAGTTTTTGGCATGGTCTGTTAAAGAGAGTCATGGAACTGTCTGTTTCTGGTGTATTTTTAATTTCATTTTTATAACCAAATTTTATTGTCATCGCAAGGGGTGCAGCTTCAACTGGAGAAGATGACTTTCTTCCCGCCTGGAAGGAGTGCAGTGATGATCTTAAGGAAAGTTTACGATCTACCGTGCTTCCAATTGGTAGCCTTTCTGTTGGTCTTTGCAGACATCGTGCTTTGCTATTCAAAGTACGTTCTAGATACCTTACTGTGACTTTAGTTTGCTTTGATGTATAATTTTGAATTCACTCTAATAGGAGGTATTTTTCAATGTCCCCATTTTAATTGGTTTTTTGCCCTTTGGGTAAAAGTATTGTTGAATCACTTTTGAAAAGCGACGGAGAATATGATTAAGCATAACCAAGAAAAGAGAAAGAGATATCAATAACATTTTTTCTGGTGTAAACTCTATATTGTTCTTGTGGAAGAATAGGTCGATTCGTATGTTTTCAACTATTGGTTTATGCAGGTGCTGGCTGACACAATTGATTTACCATGTCGAATTGCCAAGGGCTGCAAATATTGTAAGAGAGATGATGCTGCCACTTGTCTTGTTCGCTTCGGCCCTGACAGGTATACTGTGTAAATTAATTGCATCCATTGCATTTCCATTGTGATCATGAGTAAGAATTGAATCCCAAACCTACCTCATAGTGGGTGCCTTGTTGCCATGCTATGATGGCTTTCAAATAGTTTTATCCATTGATGTTGTAATTTATACTTTCCATAGTCAAAAAATCTTCATTGGAATGTTTGTGTGATGCTAATTCAATTTTCTCTCATGACATTATTTACTGAGCCCTCGTTTGGGAATAGGCTAATTTAGTAACTTTTTGACTATTTGGCTAAAATATGAGATAAAAAAACTAGTATGTTTGGGATGACTTTTTGGCTTTTTACAAAAAGATGTGTAAAAAGTAGAGAGAAAAGAGAATCTTTGACTTTTTGGTATGGGTTGTTGGCTTTTTGATTTTTTTAGCGACTTTTTGGCTAAACGGGTTGCTTCCCAAATGAGGCCTGAATTTGTGTCACTCTTCTACATGGTACTTCTATGATGAACTAGTAAGAAGATAGCATGTCGTGTTTGACACCAAAATGATACGACACTCATCGGAGACTTCCCAATACTTACACGCATAAATCACATTATGAGTTTGAATAAAATAACTTGGAATCTAATTATAACACAAAAATAATGTAAATTTATGCTTATTCTTCCCCATTATTAGATTTTAAAAACTACTAAATATTCATATATATGGCATATAGTAAGTATTTATTCTTATATATGACATATAATAAATATATCTGTACTGTTATATAAAGCAGAGGTTGGGGAGTTGGAGTTGATATCACAGAATTTCTATTTCCGAAAATACTCTCAAGAGCAGCTACCTTTTGTAATGCAAATACTTTTGTAACTGTATATCTATGAACTTAAGAATCCTATAACTGTGCACCAATTCAATTTCTTTCAAAATTATAATCACTTCTCAAGAAGCGCGGACATGGACGCACACAACACAACATGGACGCTCCAATACAAAAATATTCAAAAAATGTAAGTCACAACACATGGGGGACACGTGCAAAATTTCTAATTTTACTGGAAGGTGTGCGCACTCCATAATTTGGAGAAGTAGAATAAGGAAGAGTTTGAAAATTTGGAAGCTCTAAAAGATGAAGGCATTGGAGCAAATTTGTGTCTTGGATGATTTGGAAGGGAGTTGTGGTCTTATGGAGAAAGAAAAACTTAGGAAGGTTTATTGCAAGGAGTTTAGGAAGATTGCTATGATGGAAAAAATTAGTTGGTGATAAAAATTGAGACAACAACTGCTTAAAAAAGGAGATGAGAATATCCACAATTTTCATAAGATGGCCGATACTTACAAGAGTAATCACATTGGAAAGATCCGACGTGAACTATTATCTTTAGAGAAGGAGATTAGAAGCGGTATTGTAGGTTGAGGCTTGCTATTTTCCAACAAGCTTTGTGAAGGAAATTGGTTTAGAGGTTTGCTTGTGAGAGAGACGGAGAGAGAGGTTTTGGAGAAGAGTGGTCAAATTGAAGTATGGTTGTATACGGGGAGGATTGGTCTTTCATGGAGGTAGCTATGTCTTATGGAAAAGGGTTTGAAAGGGTATCCGAAGTGGGTGGGATTAGGTTTGTTTGTGAGAGAGAGAGAGAGGTTTTGGAGAAGAGTGGTCAAATCGAAGTATGGTTGTATACGAGGAGGATTTGTCTTTCATGGAGGTATCTATGTCTTATGGAAACGGGTTTAGATAGGTATCCGTTATGAAGTACGGACACGGGACACGACACAGACATGCGAACATGTAAATTTTCAAAAAATAGAGGACACGACACACTGGTGACACACTTAATATATATAATTTTTTTATTTATTATATGTAAAATTAAAAATTATATATTATTAATTTATTTACTTTAATATCAAATATCATTTAAAAAATAATTTTTTTCTACAAATAAAAATAATTTATTCTATATATGTTAATGTTTAGCAAACAAGAATAACCAAAAAAATAGAAAAAAGGAAAAAAGGAAAAAAAGGTTTTGTTACCAAAATAAAAAAGTATTATAAAAAGGGTTTCATCTCAGAAAGAGAGAGAGAGAAGAGGGGGAAAAGAAAAGAAAAAAATGAAGAGAGAGAGAAGGTCAAACACGGAGAGAGTCTCAGTCAAACAACTAGAGAGAGAAAGAGAGAGTCGAACACGTAGAAAACATAGAGAATGGGAGAGAGAGAGAGAGAGAGTTGAATAGTCGAACAAAGAGAGAGAGAGGCAAACAGAAGAAACGATGAAAGAAGAAGAAACAAAGAAGATCAAAGAACAAATTCAAAGATCGAAGAACATATTCGAAGAAACGAAGAACATACTCGAAGAACATACCTCGATCTAGCCTTGATCTAGCGCTTCCATAGGTTCTTCACTCCCTCTCTCTCTCTCTCCCCAACGTGTCCATCTACGTTATACGGACTTGGGTGTGGTTGTGTATTTCGGGGTCGGACACTTTAAAATTAAAAATTAAGGATACATGGGTATGGATCCAAATTAGGATACGGGTACGGGGATACGTTAAATAGTTATTTTAAAATATATTTATTATATGAAGATGAGTTTAAAAAAGTTAAGGAATAACAAATTTTATTAAAAAAATAACAAATAAATAATAAATAAAAATTATTTTAGACATAAAATAAATTATATTATATATGATAAAATAAATTAAAATTATGTTATTATGATATATTATATTATATAATTTTTTTTTGGTAAATAATATTATATTAATATAGTTTATATTATATATAATTCAAATTATATTAAAAAGAAGAGACAGAGACTGATAAAAAAAAAAACAAAAAAGAGAGAGAGAGAGAGAGTGACGAAGAGACAAGAAGAAGACAGAATATATAATTCAAATTATATTAAAAAGAAGAGACAGAGACTGATAAAAAAAACAAAAAAAGATAGAGAGAGAGAGAGTGACAAAGAGACGAGAAGAAGACAGAAGAAGAGAGAGAGAGAGAGAGAGAGATCAAAGGGGAAGACAAAGGAACACAGTAGATCAACTTTGCAGATTGATCAGCTTCGCAGGTCAAGCTTCTCAAATCGATCGATCAACTCTGCAACCAGGTCAAATTGAAGTCGGTGATCAGGTTCTCTCCTTACTCTCTCCTCTTTCGTTTCTTCTGCCGTATCCGTTTCTAAGAAGCCGTATCCCACACCCGCACCCGCACCCGCACCCACACCCGCATTTGTGTCGTGTTGAGACGGGTACCTCTGAAATTCCAAAGAGTCCGTGTAACGTAGGTGTCAATAAGGTGTCCAAGAGTGTTCTGAACGTGTTCGGCTGCAAAAATTTGAAAAAAAGAGGACATGTTAGGTAGAGTGTTTGACACATGCCCATCGCGTGTCTGACACATGTCCATGTGTGACATGTCGTATACCCATACGCTGCCTCCAGGGAGGTGTCCATGCTTTATAGGGTATTCGAAGAGGGTGTAATGAGTTCTTCAATCTTGTTTTATTGTTGTGAAAGTTGTGTAAGTGTGCTTTTGATGACATTTTGTGGCGCAGAAGAAGTTGTAGGAGACATATCCTACTCTTACCAGCATTGTGGTCAATAAGAGTGTTTTAAGGTGAACCCCTTTTATATGGCTCAAAGAGGGTCGTTCTTCATTTCCTTGTAAGGGATTAGGCTTAGGCTGTTTGAAGGCTTCTCCTAAAGTTACGCTTTTTTTTTTTTTTTTTGGTGGTGGACGGTGTGCATGGAAAGATCCTTACTAATGATAATTTGATTATGAGACAAATTCATGTTGATTTTGTGAAGTGAAGTCGCATATCACTTGGGTATGAAAGTAATGTGCAGTGTCAGTATGTAAACATGCGAGCACCCTCACCTCATTATTTTAAGGTTGAGTTCAAGGTTTTAAAAAGCGGCTGCAACCGTTATATAACGCTGTTACGTAACAGTTGTGATGGTTACCGCCATCTATTACGGCCGCTATAGCATTGTGACAGAAATTCTCACGTGTAACGGTCGTTTCGGTATTACGTAACTACTGTAACGGTTCGTTACATACCGTTACATCACACACCATTATATCATTTTACAATATTCTAAATACCTTCCCCCCTCAAAAAAAAAAAAAAAAAACTTACAAAAAAAGAACAAACACTCAATTGATCTAAATCCAAAGAAAAAATCTTATATCAATTTATTTTCTTTATAATTTTTTTTTAATTTTTATTTCATTACATTAGCATTTAATATGAAATATATATAAACAGTGGTTGTATTTATTTTTATAATCATTTTATTTAATATTTAATTGTAAATATTTTTTATTTTGTTACTATAATGTGTTGTCTAAAAAATGTCTTTAAAAAAATAAATAAAATTAATAGCTCAAAAATAATTTTTGTTTATGGCAAAATTTTTATTTTTATAATTATTTTATTTAATACGTAATTGCAAAAAATAACTCAAATTATTTTTTTTTTGGTTTATGGCACAATTTTTATTTTTATAATCATTTCATTGAATAATTGTGATTATTTTTTATTCAGTTAGTTCAGGATTGGTCAAAAATAATTTGTAGACATTTAAAATCAATTATTCTTAAATTATTAACTATTGAAATAAAATATAAAATGCTCATTTTATAGTGATTTGAAAATATGAAATATATTAGATCATATTTAAAAATTGAGCAATGGTAGAGGGCCCAAATTCTGTGGCTCAAATGTGGCTCAAATGGCCAAAACGACGTCGTTTTGAGTACAAAACAACATCAAAATGGCCAAAACGACGTCGTTTTGGCCATTTGAGCCACATTTGAGCCACAAAATTAGGGCCCCCAAACATTTTTCTTAAAAATTAACAAAAATTAATGAAAATCTATTTTAAATCCCAATAAATGTGATTTTGAAAAAAATTATGCATATCGCTAAATTTTCTTCAAATTGTGTGAAAAATAAAAAAAATCACGGTTTCGGTTACTGTAACCGTTACGCTATAGCCTTTGCACTCTGCAACCACAACCACTTTTCGAAATCTTGGTTGAGTTCTACCTAAGATTGTGTAGTATAGTATTAGAACCGGAGTACTGAGAGATGGGTAGGGTGTGTGTCCTTGGAATGTGTCCCATATCACCTGGAGTTGCCACATCTGTACTGGTTATGAGGCTCCAGTTTTCCTTTTCTCAATGCCTGGGTTTTAAAGAGAAATGTAGGTTGGGCTTTTCAATTGCTTGCACGCAGTAGGTGCTGCTAATTTACCATGCTGCGCTTGAGAGAGGGTGTGAAGGGAAGTCCCACATTGCTAAGGTGCAAAAGTAATGTGCAATATATAAGCTTGAGGGCACCCTCACCTCAATAGCTAGTTTTTGGGATTGAGACCATGTAACATATTTATGCTGTATGTGCAAGCATGATTATTCATTGTGCGGCAGACAGTTGTGGTCCTTAATTTTGTGTATGCTTGGCACGGAGTGGGCCTTCGAGTGTGTTGGGGGGGGGGGGGGGTTGGTGAAGGGTATGGAAGAGTAGAATTTTCTCTTTTTTGTTTAGTTTAGTTGGTTTTCAAGTAGATTAGATCCATCCTTAATCAACTTTTTGGACTTTTTAGAGCATTTTTTAGTAAAGTTTTTGATTTATAGATGATGTAGGCATAATTGTTTTCTTCTCTTATGTGTTTACTGGTGGCACCCCTTCGTTAAGGGTATGGAAGAGTAGAATTTTCTCTTTTTTGTTTAGTTTAGTTGGTTTTCAAGTGGATTAGATCCATCCTTAATCAACTTTTTGGACTTTGTAGAGCATTTTTTAGTAAAGTTTTTGATTTATAGATGATGTAGGCATAATTGTTTTCTTCTCTTATGTGTTTACTGGTGGCACCCCTTCGTTGCCTTTTTAATAAAACTTATTTAATTGCTGCTCACATTTTCTATGTATTATTACAGAGAATGTCTAGTTGATTTAATTGGGAAGCCAGGATGTTTGTGTGAACCTGATTCTTTGTTGAATGGTCCATCTTCCATCTTGATTTCTTCACCATTGTGCTTCCCCCGATTCAGACAAGTTGAACCTCCAATTGATTTCAGATTAGTGGCCAAACAATTTTTCTCAGACTTTGAATCACTGAATATTGTATTCGATGACTCTTCCACAGGTGATCTCCAGTTCTTGAACATTTATGTCCATAATTGTTGATGTTTTTATTTTCCACATCCATGGAGAACTTTTATAGAAAATTATGGCCCTTAATTTATTGAGCAATGGAAAAATGTGCATATTTTTGTATATTGAATCATTGATTCTATTTAGGGGAAATATCATATAAGTCTTATTTTTCTAATGAAATTTCCATTGAGTTCTATTAACACTATGTTGAGAGAGTTGATTCATTAGTTAATAGGACTTAATGAGAATTTCATTGGAAAAGTAAGACTTATTTGGTATTTCCCCGTCTATTTATCATTTTTATGCTCATGCAATGTGTTTGCTTGTTCCTTTTGTTTTCCTTTGTGGAGAAATTGATTGCATGTGAAAGCAATGCGTGTTGCTTGGCTATGGTTAAACTGTAGTTTCAATGTTCATCGTAGTGATTTGTCACTTACTGATTTTAAAGGTTCCAAATTAATCTCACAGGTACTGTTGATGGGGATACTGGAGACTCGACATATCCCAAGCAATCTGATAGGCAGTGCATGGATAGACACAATCACGTGCCTAGTCCAAGCAACAGCAATGAAAGCCATGATAGGGATTTGCAGCTGCTTAAATCAAGTAATCCTCATACTATTATAAGCTCAACAAACATGGTCAAAGATCCAGTCCCTCTAAAGCATTTCCCGCCAATTGGTCATAGAGAAGTTCAACCACTTGTAGGCTTGTCTGATCCAAGGGGAAATGCAAAAGATTTGAGGTTTGTTGAGGGAGGTCAAATGGTTCCAAGGCAACCAAGTAAAAAACTATCCCTTGATGTGGAAGATTTGGACATTCCATGGAGTGACCTCGTTCTGAAAGAGAGAATTGGATCAGGTATTGTTTTCCTCCCCGTTGGAAAAACATTAGAATGCTAACAATATAGCTGTTTTGTAGCTTAAGGAGGTCATGTACCTTTCTCAATGTTGCAAAGTGGCTTTTTCTTTTTATGTTGTAGGAAGTTATACTGAAACCAAGTGACTTGGTGAATTTCCAGGTTCTTTTGGTACTGTCCATCGTGCTGATTGGCATGGCTCGGTAAGTAATTCATCTCTGTACTCGATTACTAGCTGACACTTGTTATGCTCTAATATTGATGAATGGGAGTATGTTACCATGGTACAAGTTAATGTGATTATTGCGGTAGTATGGCAATCTGTATTTTCCAGTGCTAATGTGCAGTATCTATTTGAGCTTTTGGGTTTAAGGTATCATGAGAACCTGTACATTATTGTTGATGACGTCGTCGAAAAAATAAGGCGATGATGATGAAGGGGAGCTGATTATATGTGCATGGTCATGTTATTCCCTTAGACTGAATTTCCATGTGGTTCTGTAGGAGAGTCTTAATTGTGCTTGTAATTTCTGTTAAGCCTTGTGTGAGATGAGTCACTTCGAGGATTTGATGAGTCTATTGTTCAATTGGTTCGTGTTCTGTTTCATGATACTCAAGAATAGAATTAATAGTGGAAATTTAAGGAGTATTGTAAGTGCGTTGAGATTCATGGAGACATGGTTGAAACTTGCATAATATTCTCAGATTATGATTAAGCAACTCAACTGTGCTCGTAGCCTATTGTGTTTTCTAAATTGACCCTTTAGTTGTTGGAAAATTGCAGTGGTAGTGAGTGATATACTTTCTTGCTTCTATTCCAAGCATGGAGTCTTTTAGAAGTCATAAAGTTTGACAACTGTGAATAGTCTTTTTGTGGTCACAACTTTCAATGCTGTGAAGGAAATAATGACATAACCTGCAAATAGCATTAAGTTGTGGCTTATGATTATAGAATTTTAGAGTAGTTGATGTGAAAATATCCCTCTTGCATATACTTTCTAATTTTTTGGGGGGGATGAGAATCATTAGAGATTATGTTGAAGCAGAGGACTAATCGAAGAGAGAAAAGGAAGAGATCCTATGGAATAACTCATGAAAATAAGTCTAGTCTCAATGAACTGTGAAGCGACTGTAAACGAACTTCACAAAATCAGGGTAGTGAGATTCAGATGTCCTCCAGTTTTGATTCTTTTCTTTTGTTAGGGACTCTTCCTCTTGGCCAATCGTGGTAACTGTTTGATGGAGCACTCAAATGTGGTTGCTAGATCAGTAGCTTATAGAGGATGCTTTGCATTCTCCATGGGTCCGTTTTTTTTTTGGATCCTTATGATGACATTTGAACTATCTTCTTTCATTATAAATATATAGTAACAAATCATTGGCTTCTAAGATGTGTTAAAGATCCCAATTCTTTTCTCTTTAGTTTCCCAAAACCAAAAAAATTGGAAAGATAACTGATATTGTTCCCTTATGATGTATTTCAAATTCCATTCATTCGTCATTTGCCCAGAATGTATGAGAGTGAATCTCATTAGTTTTCCAAAACCAAAATTTTTGAAAAAGATAACTGATATTGTTCACTTGTGATTTATTTCAAATTCTACTCATTCACAATTTCCCAAGAATGTATGAGGGCATTACTGACATTTGCACTTCCTTAGGTTTGTCCCAAGAGGAAAGCATAATTCAAAAATGAGATTTGGTCTCAACTACTGCTTTCCATTCTCTCATTAGTGTTACGCATAGCAGTACACGCTTGAATAATTTTGTTCTTAATATATATCTCAATAAACACTGCTTCATTTGTGACCTTAATGATCCAGCCGTCTTCTATCTCGAAATCTATTATTTTATAGGGAAATTCTTCTCAATACACGCCATTTGTTTTGTTCGGATATAAACTTTCGAACAAAAGGCAAATGTTCGGACATAAATTGATGAACAAAAATAAAATGTTCAAATATATTTGTTTCAACTGTTTTTATCTGAACAATTGCTTTTTGTTCATAAGTTTATATCCGAACATTTGACTTTTGTTCAGAAGTTTATATCTGAATGATATAAATGTTGTGTTTGTACTGAGATTTTTTATGGTGTTTAAATAGAATTACTCGATTTTATATTTCCATAGCCAAAAATCAAGGATTTTCAAAAGATGTGATAAGAGAAAAGTACAGATATCATACTTCCTTCTTGTGGCTCAAATGGAAATCTTTATTATGATCATTTTTATTTCTATGAATAACTAGTTTTTAAATATCCAGTATAGATGTAGGTTTAATTAGGAAATTGAAATTAGCACATAATGAAATCCATCGTACTTTATAGCCACTAACCAGCTAACATGCTTATTGACTGGAAAGTGAGATTAGATTCATAAAGAAATCTGTTGCACTCTGTAGCCACCTAAGAAGTACGGTTTACGAACATGGGACACAAATATGACATAATATGGACATGCTAACATGGAAATTTCAAAAAAATCAACGCATGGCAAGGACATGGCAACAAATAATATATATATATATATATATATGTTAATAAATAGGAAAAAATTCTGTTTACGCCCTCACATTTAAATATATGCAAAGTGCCGTCGCATGGTTGGGGACTAAAGTGCACTGCTAAGATTGTTAACAGAAAGGTGAATTAAACTGACGTCCCTGTAGTTTGGGGCTTGTGTCGCTTTGGTTCCTAACCTTTCAGTTGTGATTTTTGACCTTCAATTTTGAATCTCGTTCCAAATAAGGATAATTGAAGACATTGTTGTTCCATTGCAAAGGGTAAAGTTGTCAATTTGATAAAATATAAACTAATTTGACAAAAATAAATGTTAAAAAATTATTTTGAATTTTTAAAAATTATTTCTACTCATCAAAGATAAAATTATATAAAAATGATAAATCTTTTATATTTTTATTTAATTTTTTTTTATCAAATTAATTTTTAGTATGTGTTTAGATAATAATCATGTAATGGGCTCTGTTATCAAAATCTTATAATTCGTGATTCGTGATTCAATTCACTATTTGATTTGCAATTTTTGCAAAATCGATACGAATCTATAGGTGAATCTATTTTAGAAGTGAATCTATAGTGAATCGATTCACGATTCGATTAACTTTTTATGATTCATGCAATTTTTGAAATTATTGTGTCTGACATATTTTCAACTTTTTTTTCCTCCATCTTTTTAGTGAAAATGACATAATATAACTTCTAATAGCGTTTAATACCAAGATAACCAACTTATATAAGTGATTTATTGTTATTTTAGTAATCATAGAGTTTTTGATAGAATCCAATCAGATTCAGTCAGGCCCAACATATTTTTAATCTTTCTTCTCATTTTTTTCCTCTAAAAAACATAATATATCTTCTAAAGATGTTTAAGATAAAAAGTTACACTATGAATTATCTATTGCTATTTTATTAAATTGAATATAGTTGAATATTACATGTGTGAGATCAATTATACCTTTTAAAATATTTTAGGCTTTAAAATAAAAGATTCTAAATAATTCTTTCTTATTATTTGCTCATTGTTACTTAGAAAAGTATGTAGGCTTATTGTTGAAATATCAATACCATTGTTAATTAGTGTTACTTTAGAAATTGATAGTTTGCCTATTTGGTTATTATCTTTATTAAGAATGGTTGATAAGAAATATCTAAAAAAGAAAAAAGGTAATATGGTGATCTTACATAGGAACCTTTGTTAACTTCTTACTTATTAAGTTACGTGATTATCATTTAAAATAACATTTTCATTGATTTAAGTCTAATTATTTCATATTTATAAGATATATTTAACATCTAAATGTGTAGATATATGTTTTTAAGGAATTTTAAAAAAGTGACTGAATCTTTAAGATTCACGATTCGGTACAAGGCCATTTCGATTCATGATACGAATCCTGATTTGGCAACTATAGTAATGGGTGGTTGTTTTTGCTGATGTTTTTGGATGGTTATTATATAATGGATGGTTATTAGGCTTTTAATGTGTAATCGATATATTAAATATATGAAATATTTTTAGTTTTGGATTTTTTGATTTAATGGATTGGTTGAATAATTATATCAAAGTTGTCGCCATATTTGATTTTTGAAAAAATAAAAACTAATTTAATGGAAATAAATATTAAAAAAAAGTATTTAAAAAAATTATTTCTACCCTCCCAAAAGATTTAATTTGTTTTCGCTAATTTAATATTTAGTTTCTTAGAAAAAATTTCTGAAAATAGATTTTGAAAACCAAACAAAACAGAACTTTATAACCAATAAAATTTCAACATTATTTATTTAAAAAAAGGTCATTATATTTCAAACAACATATAAGTTAACTAACACAAAATAAGTTATATGACGACTCTGCTATTGAAATGGACCTTTTGCAAATGAAACATTTTTGATTGTCTGTATTTGGAATAAGATTCAAAATTCAGGTTAAATGTATTACAATTGAAAAGTCAGGGATTAAAGTGATACAAGTCCCGAACTATAGGGCCTGTTAGTGTTATTCGCCCTTAGCAGAAAATGCAAATTGACTATTATACCTCCCACTGTATTACTGTCTTTCTCCCTACTATAACCCTCTCCACTGTGTTACAACAACCATTGCCATATTCAACCTTGATTCAAAATCACTCCTATAGACTAAATGGTGAATATATGAATTTCACTTAAAAAATAAAAATAAAAAAAGTATGTCTTGTGCCTGCAGTGAAGGGCAGTCATAGGGACCAGTGGCTGTGGTGTCTGGGGCAGGCAATGATAACTTCTATATCTACAATTCTTATCTTTAAGATGTTTTTATTACCAATATTTGCAAAAGATAAATATTTTTTTTCCTCGAATTTTATTGTGTTTTCAGTTGGGCATTTCATATTTTCTCCTTCCCTTTGGAAATTGTAGTCTTTTGACAACAACTAAGAAACACAAACACTTCTAAGAAGGTAGTATATCTATGTTGGACACCAACACATTTCGTGCACGTCCAAACATGTCCTATCCTATTATATAAATTTTTTTAAGACACTTGCGGGAAACAAGTGTCCATCATTTAGACTTTTGACACATGAAACACAGTAGTTTGAACAAAATAGCTTGAGATCCAATGATAAAAAAAATAATATAGATTTATATTTATTAACCTTACTTTAAAATTTAGAAATTGGTCTTGTATTGTATTTTTATTGTTAGTTTTGAATTACATATTTATGTATGGTACATATAAAAATGTATTTTTTGTGTGTCTCTCACATATTGTGTGCTGCATTTTTTGAATTTTGTTGTGCCAGCATGTCTGTATCCTGTCCATGTCCTGTTGCATGATATCATATCCATGCTTCTAAGGACAACAGTGTATATTTGCATGCCTCTTTCCCATTCTAAACTTATTTCCTAACTTTTTATGTGGTATCTGTAGAATGAATTAATTGTATAAGCTGTAAAAGAAAATTACCCAAATGAGCAGTAATAAGCTATAAAATTATAGAGAAGTATATATATCATATTAGCCAGAAACTGGTTGACCTTTATCTCAATGCATCATTTTAATTTTTAACTACAAAGGAGGGAAGCTACTGCTAACATGAGTGAGATCTGAGACAAATAAACATGAATTTGTTGTGATGCAGTTTGCATGCACACGTGTGCACTGGGGGTGGGGTTTTAAGGAACTGATTGCGTGAATAAGCTGTTGACTGAAATGCACATATGGACTTGTTCCTGTCTGAGTAAAGGACATAATAGCCAAATTTTCCAGATGGTTCTCCAAGGAAATCAACTTCTGGTTCTTCTGCTTCATATCTTTCAAATGCTGCAGAATGCAATGAAGTAAAACCTTAGTATCCAGATATTTCATTCACCTAATTTTAAAACATGCACTTAACTTATATGTTTCTGCTTTCAGGCAGATTACAATTACCCTTTACGAAAAAGAGGAAGAGATAGGCACGGATGATTGCTGTACGAATTGTCTCTCTGTCATCCACACTTTCTTTCTTTTCTTTTTCCTATTCTTTTTAGGTAACCCTTTTACAATAAATTCAATCATTTTCCCCCCAAAGCAGTTATGGTTCTAGTGATTTTGAAGCATTTGAAAATATTTATTAAGAATGCAAATTTTTTGAGTCAGATACTCTTGGAACTTTATGGAGTTGGAAATCTATCTGGAAGATATAGACTGATTTTCCTCTACCAAAAACATTAAGGGTACGTGTATGGCCTGAATGGGGATTCATAATAGGAATCTCATTCGTTGTCTCCATTCCATTGTTGAGTGCATTTAAAGACTTGTAAACTAATCTGGACTATCTTTTTCAAGACGGAATGAGATTGCCAAACTAGTGGGTATCTCATTCCTTTTTTAATTTTCGGTGTTAAATAAAGAGTAAATTTTATTACAAAGAGAGCATCAAGATGATGCTAACAAAACAAACAGCGTCACCAAACCAATCTGGACATATAAAGAATCAATAAACTCCACAAAAGAAAAGAAATCTGGTGTCACTCTCCCCGACACCCAACTATATAATACCACCAAAAATGTATTCCTCAAATGAGGCAATGAAACTGTTAACCCTTGAAAAGTCTTACGATTATGCTCCAACCAAACCAACAACGTTAAACAAAAAGGCGCAAGATCCCAAGCCTTCCGACATCTCTTTCCCACCCGACCCCCTGGCAATTGCACATCACCTCCTGCACGATCCCCTGCTGCACCCAATCCAAACCAAACACTGAAAAATCAAATGTCAAAGTCGAGGTGTTACAGGGCAGTGAAGTAAACGATGCCAAGTGGATTTTGTTGAAATCTGGCGACATCGAATCAAATTATCCAATGTCAAAATCCTATCACACATAGTCGTCCACGCAAAAAATGCCACTTTGGATGGCACGCCAACAACCCACACACTCAGCCACGGAAAAGAACTGTCCATGAAATCCACCTGAGCATGATAAAAGGATGACACCGAGAAAACTCCTTTAGCGCCCTTACAACACCACATCAGCCCATCCTCCTCCCCCATCCCCACCTCCCTAACACCAAACATCAAAGCTAAAAAGTCCACCAATTGATCACCCAATAAAAAATCTCGCTGTATTTTCTCCAAATGACAGACAACCGATATCAGAATAACATGTACTGACATGAAATACGTAGGAATGCTCCCTAAAGTGCTCTTTATCAATGTCAACTTCCCTAGTGGGTATCTCATTCTCCCTCACCCCCATGGTAATATGACATTCCTGGACTGCAATATTTATGTATTATATCATCTTATTTGATAATAGTCCTTGCTAGTCCAAATTTTTGAATGACATTAATGGCAAGACCTCTATTGGTAATGAATTCTTTCTCAGAAATAGTCCTTGCTAGTCCTAATTCTTGAATGACATTAATGGCAGAATCTCATTATTGGTAATGAATTCCTTCTCTTCTGTTCCTACCATCCGAACATGGCCTAAAGGAGTATAGAAAGGTAAAAGCATGTCAATGAGTGAAAGTTTTTAGAAAATAAAGGAGAAAAGTCATTGGTGGAGGCTAACGGTTCAGTTTGTTCAATCAGGAAGAGGAAAGGAATATTTTAATTTGTTACAGAAGTCCTTTCCTTTGGTGGTTTGAGACATTGATACAATTTATGCATTTGCATGCCATAAATTTACTCCATTCAGTTTGATCAGATGATTTATTTCCAAAATATGGTGATATATAAATTAAGACAGGCAGCATGAACTTGTTTTGGGCAAAATTATGTTTTAGATTTTTCAAAATTCAGAGCATTTTTGGTATGAATGATGTCATTTCTACAATACGCACTATACTACCAATTGTTGACAAGTAAAATGAGAAATTTGAAATTTATATGATAGAGTTGGATCATGGTTGACGGTGAAAAGCAGATGCAAAAACTTAGTTAAAGTTCTTTTTGGAGATGAGGATAATAAACTATCGAACATTTTATTAGGTTCAGAAGATACTTCCAGACTGATGCGTGGTGATGCTGTCTGTAACTGGGTTCTGGATACAGGCCATAAACTCTAGAATTTAACCATTACTATGGGACCTGATCATCAAGAACAATTCTTTGAAATATTTTTCCTGCAAATTGCAATTTTTAGCTTTGGGCTCTTTTTTTTTCCCCTCCTAACATTACAAAGTTATATTTTAAGTAATTGATGTAGGCCTAAATTTAAACTTCTGGTAGCATAATGAACCATCCTGGAACCTGTGGTATATAGTCTATATGCATTTGCTATTGCAGGAGTGCACATATTGTTGTACACTTGAGCTTGTACATTCGAACTCGAGTGGAGTGAACTAGACCCTCTGGATTCCATGTCCAAGATCCTGTGAAGTTTTTGCTTAGTGTTCTAAGAAAGAAGTCTGTCTTTGTTATCACTCTTCTTTAGGTTCTCTTTGATTAATGTTCTATGATGTAGTTTATCTTCCTAGCTTCACAGTTCAATCATATTTTAAGGCATTATTGCTGTTTCGGTTGCATCATTCTGTTACATGTTATAATCTTACAAAAGCTGTAACTTTCAGGATGTGGCTGTGAAGATTCTTGTGGATCAAGACTTTCATCCAGAGCGAATCAATGAATTTGTAAGGGAGGTAACCATCAACAACTTTCTGGATGAACTGAGCTCTGAAATTGAGTAGCAGCAGCTTATTTGATGGTTTTTATTTTTGTTTATTTACTTTTAAGTTTATTGCTATGTTCTAACTTCACTACTTATGTTTGTAGCTCGCAATTATGAAATGCCTGCGGCACCCAAATATTGTTCTTTTCATGGGTGCTGTTACTCAGCCCCCAAACTTGTCCATAGTAACAGAATATCTATCAAGGTTTTGTATTGTTTCTTTTAATTCCCTTAGCATCAATATGGGAATTAGATATTATTGCAAGCATTGTTCTAAGTAATTAACTAATTACAGTAGTGGTTTTGAATTGCAGAGGCAGTTTATATAGGCTTTTGCATAAACCTGGTGCAAAAGAAGTATTGGATGAGAGGCGTAGGTTGAGTATGGCTTATGACGTGGTATGCATTTGAATGTTGAAATCTTGTGTTTGGTGTTGTAACATACATGCTTACACATGTAATGTATGGTGTTTTCCCTCCCCTATGCACATCTTGCTGTCTCATCAAAATGATAAAGGAGGCATTCACCATTGTTTAATTTTTTTCTTTTCATTGTCTCAAGTGACACTGGCATCTGTATATTATATTTTTTTGGGCTTAACTATTTGCATTTGTCTTCTATAGGCAAAGGGAATGAATTATCTTCATAACCGCAATCCTCCCATTGTTCATCGAGATTTGAAGTCTCCAAATCTTTTGGTTGACAAAAAATATACAGTGAAGGTGAGAATAAGGATTACTTGATCATAGGAGATAGCTTCCAAGCTTCCAATTTTACTTGATCACTTACCTCTCTAAAGTATTTATGTTATGATTGTAAGTTTTCTGAATGAAACTGTATATTAGCTTAAACAAAGAATACATCATTTATATATAACACTAATTCCTAATCCTACATGAATACATTGATATATAGAATTCTAATAGATATAAGACACTAATTCCTATTCCTATAAGGAAAAAGGAGAACACATTCTCACACCCCCGCTCAAACCTGTAGCAGAAAATACTGAGAGTTTGTCAAAAAAAAACCGAAACCGAGCAATGGTGTGAGTCTTGGTGAAGAAGTCAGCAAGTTGCAGAGCCGAAGAGATAAAAGAAAGTGAGATAAAGCCAGACTGCAGATGCTGACGGATGAAGTAACAATCAATCTCAATATGCTTTGTCCGTTCATGGAAGACAGTGTTATGAGCAATTTGAATAGCGCTTCGGTTGTCACAATAGAGAGAGGTCGGGGAAGACTGAGGGACACCCAAGTCAGATAAGAGACCACGAAGCCAGACAATTTCAGCAGTAGCATGAGCCATAGCACGATACTCAGCTTCGGCAGTAGAACGTGCAACAACAGTTTGTTTCTTGTTTTCTAAGAAATCAGGGAATCGCCAAGAAACATACAGAAACAAGAAGTAGATTTACGATCATTAACATCACTAACCCAATCAGCATCAACATAAACCACCAAGTCTAAAGAAGAAGTAGAAGAAAATAGCAAGCCTTGGAAGATAGTACTGCGAAGATTACGAAGAATCCAAAGCAAAGCAGCCCAATGTGTAGAACGAGGAGCAGAAACAAACTGACTAACCACTTGGACAACATAGGCAAGATTAGGGCGAGTAACTGTCAGATAGACTAAGCAACCCACAAGTTTGCGATATAACGTAGGATCATCTAGAGGAACACCATCAGTAGTGTTGAGCTTTACATTAAGCTCAATGGGGGTATCAGAAAGCTTAGTGTCAGTAAGTCCGGCACGATGTATAACCTCGTTGGCATACTTAGCCTGGAACAGAAAGCAACCATTGGGAGAAGAAGCCACCTCAATACCCAAGAAAATACCACAACGGTCCCAGATCTTTCATTTCAAAGGTGCGGAAGAGATTCTACTTGACCTCAGAGATAGCAGAAGAGTAAGAGTCAATGATGATCATATCATCTACATATAGTAAGAGAGCAACAAAACTAGCCGAGGTATGTCTTAGAAATAAAGCAGAGTCGGAAGTAGAAGGATGAAACCCAAGCTCGGTAACAGTAGTTTGAAAGTGATCACACCAAGCACGAGGGGACTACTTCAGACCATACAGAGCACGCCGAAGACGACAAACCTGGCCAGAGGAATGGTGAAGACTAGGGAGAGGACGCATGTAAACCTCCTCAGTGAGGTGGCCATTAAGAAAAGCATTCTTAACATCCATCTGATAAAGATGCCAAGAACAAACAACAGCGACAGAGATCAAAGCATGGACAGTAGTCATCTTGGCAACAGGAGCAAATGTCTCTTCATAATCAATACCATACTCTTGGGAGAAATCTTTGGCCACCCGACGAGCTTTGTAGCGCTCAATAGAACCATCAGAATGAGTCTTGACTTTGTAGACCTATTTGTAACCAACCAGATTCTTACCAGTAGGCAAAGGAACCAATTCCCAAGTACTGGTTTTTTGTAGAGCAAACAGCTCATCCTCCATAACTTGAACCCAATGAGGATCCTGACAGGCCTCCATATAAGACTAGGGTTCTGCAAAAGAGTGAATAGCAGACAGAAAGGTATGATAGGAAGCATAAAAACAAGTATTATACCAACCCAACCTGTTTGGAGGATGACGCGCTCGAGGAGGATATTGGTGTGCAGCAGGATCAGAGTTGTCAAAAGCAGGAGGATCAGCAGTAGGGGTAGAGACAACTGGTGGAGGAGGAGCCTTGTGATGAAAATAAACTAACAATGGAGGAAGAGAATAAGGCGAAAGAGGAGAAGCAGTTTGAGGTGAAGCAGGAGGAGAAGATGGAACAAGCTCATGAGGAACTGTGGAGATGTACTCATTAGACGAGACCTCAAAAGAAAATGGATCAATATGAATCAAATCCTCTTTGGAAACTGGGGCGGTGAGAGGAGAAAGCTAAAAATAAGATAGACATTCGAGAAAGGCAACATGGTGGGAGACATAAAGGCAATGAGAAACAGGGTCATAACAGTGATAACCTTTCTAAGTGAGACTATAACCCAAAAAAACACATAGGACAGATCGGGCAGTAAGTTTGGTCTTATCTTTACGGGGTAAAAAGACAAAACAAGCAGACCTAAACACATGAAAGAGGGAGTAATTAGGAAGTTGAGAAAACAGAGCCTCATAAGGAGACCGACCAGAAAGAAGGGGGGTAGGCATACGGTTGAGAAGAAAAGCAGCAGTAAGAACTGTCTCACCCTAAAATGGAGCCGGAACATAGGCAGGGAGAAGAAGAGACCTAGTTGTCTCAAGGAGATGACGGTGTTTACGCTCAGCTCGACCATTTTGGGCAGGTGTATCAGTACAAGTAGTTTGGTAAATGGTACCCAAGTTGGCTAAATATTCACAGAATTTAGTTTTAAAGTATTCCTTACACAAGTTAGACTGCAATAATTTAATAGTAGACCCAAACTGTGTAGTTATCATAGACTGGAAAGTACGGTATATCTGGTAGAAGTCAGACTTATGAGTCATAAGATAAACCCATGTGTAACGAGTGCAATCATCAACAAAAGACGCATAGTATACTGAACCCCCTTTAGTAAGAATAGGAGAGGGCCCCCAGACATTAGTATGCACAAGAGAAAAAGGAGAAATAGAAATAGATGTACCTTTACTAAATGGTAAAGCTGACATTTTGGCAAGTTTACACCCCTGACATTCATCAATTTGACTAGGAGAAACTTTACCCAACAACCCTGACTGAGCTAAAGACCGTAAGTTGTCAACAAACAAATGACCGAGGCGAGAATGCCATAAGTAAAACTGACTCGACTGAGAATCTAACTGAAACGAGGAAAGTACAGCTGGATAGGTGGATAAGGGAAGATGCAAGCTTTCAACCACATACAGATCTCCAACTCTTCGGCCGATCCTAATCTACTTCTTGGACACTCGATCTTGCACACAACGAATAGAAGAGGAAAATGTAACATCAAAACCAGACGCATCAAGTTGATTGATAGATAATAAACTGACAGATAACTGAGGGACATAAAAAACAGAAGGAATAATAACAGCAGACATGACAGAGCGTAAGACAGATCCAATAGACAAAACAAACATACCAGACCCATTAGCAGTATTAATAGTAATAAGAACATGTGGGGGAATATAGTTTTGAAGGAAATGTGATGAGTCATATGATAAGAGGCACCAGAATAAAAAAGCTAGATAGAAGAAGGGATACCTGAAGAGGACCCAAGCAAACCTGAATGAAGAGAGGTAAGAGCGGAGGCAGATGGGAATGGTTGAGAGGTGGACAGGAGATGCTGAAGTTGGGCAACCTGAGCACTCAAGGAAGTCAGGTTAGGATTGGGAGTCAGAGTAGATGCAGTTTAAGCGGCAGGAGGTCGGAAAGTACCTGAAATAGGACCGCGGAATTGTGTCTGAGAAGATGGGGCAGGCTGACGTCCCTTCTTGGGACGGTTGTTCTTCTAATGACCCTTTTGGTGGTAGAAAGCACACTCATCTGGCCTAATGGTCCTTCCTTGGGTTTCGCAGTGGCCTGAAGCTGATGAGGAGGTGGGGTCGATAACAAGGAAGGCTTGGTAGGAGTTAAGAAGATGGGAGGAGGCTGAGTTTGATTGGCCGTCTTAAGGCGGGTTTCCTCGAAGAGGAGCTCACGAACAATAACATCCACAGAAGGAAGAGGAGATCGGTGGAGGATGCCACCTCGGATAGCCTTATACTGAGGGGAGAGAGCTGTTAAGAATTACACTAAGTGACCCTGCTCCCGAAACTTAAGATAAGCGTCCAGTATCTTGAGATTAGGTGGTTCCATAAGAGCCAATTGATCCCAGAGACCTGTCATCTCAATATAGAAGTCCTAAATAGTCTGATCCCGCTGACGAGCACTCTGAATAGCTGTTTCCAACTCATACCGCTTGGCAAAGTTGGACTGCTGATAAACACCTAACAAATAATCCCACACCTCCTTGGCAATACTGTACTTGGAAAACATCATTCCAATACGGTCATCCACAGAATTATGAAACCAGGTCAGAACTTGGGCATTATCATAATCTCAAGTGTCACAGGAAGTTAGATACCCTTCCGCCTTTGGGTTCGATAGACGAGGAATAGAACTAGAAACATAGCCCTATTTTTTTCTGAACAAGAATAAAATTCTTCATAACACTAGCCTAATAGGCATAATTGCCACCAATGAGTTTGCATTTGATGGCTTGGATTTTAGTATCCGACATTGTAATAAAGCAAAGTTTATGGTGTCTAAATATAAAATAAATTTAATTAGATGGGTCAAATTATAATAATCCTAAAGTTAGCACAGTTGGGTCAAATACTGGTGAACTCAGATACCAATAACAATACTAGAGAGAGAGAGAGAGAGAGATAACCAGAGAGCTCAATACGAGAGAGAGAGCGAGAGAGAGAGATAACCAAAGAGCTCGATGGCGATGTCGCAGCCCTAAGGAGAACCAGCGAGACAGAAAGAGACAGTGAACCAGAGCAGACTCTCGCAAGAGAGTGTGAGCCACGAATCAGAGGAGATGAACCAACCATAAACCAGAGACAAGAACCACGATCCAACGATGCTGAGAGATGCGCCAGAGACGACTCACACAGAACCACGGATCAAATGTGACAGATACCTAATCACGAGGGAGAACCAGTCACGAAACAAAAGGAAGAACTACGAACCAGAGCCAACTCAGAGTCAGCAAATAGCAAACGGCTTCTAGGGTTCCAGTGGAGGCTCTGATACCATGTAAGTTTTCTGAATGAAACTGTATATTAGATTGAACAAAGAATACATCGTTTATATAGAACACTGATTCCTAATCTTACATGAATACACTGATATATAGAATTCTAATAGATATAGGACACTAATCCCTAATCCTATAAGGAAAAAGGAGAACACATTCTCGCAATGATGCCTTTTCAATTTGTTTAGCATTCAAGTTGATTTGGTTAACATGAGTTCTTGATAATTTATGTATTTCAGTTGAAAGCACTATATATGTTGTGTATACTATATATAATATATGTATTCTAGTTCCAATATCTGTTTCCTTTATTTTAGTCTTGCCCTTTTTGTTCAATTAGGTCTGTGATTTCGGTCTTTCCCGCTTAAAAGCAAAAACATTCCTTTCATCAAAGTCAGCGGCAGGAACTGTAAGTCTGTCCAATTATATCACGTCATTATTTTTGACTCGTTATCCTTTGATGGTGTGTGTTGCTTCTATCACAAAATAAAATTTTCTTCTTTTTGTTTTATTTTAATAGCCTGAATGGATGGCACCAGAAGTTCTCCGTGATGAACCATCAAATGAAAAGTCAGATGTGTATAGCTTTGGCGTGATATTGTGGGAACTTGCTACGCTGCAACAACCTTGGAGTAATTTAAATCCAGCACAGGTTTGTATGATGTGATTTTCTATTATTGGTGATATATTGGCATTGGACATCGAGGGCCTTTTGGAATTGGTGACAAGGAAAATCTGTGTAAAAAATATCTGTGAATGCAATAGTTAGGTTGAAATAGAATATGCAAAAATGGTCAAAGGATACTTAGATGAATGACTTACAGAAAAATAAATTCCTTGGTTGACTATTGAATACTTAGATGAACGATTTTTAGATGAATTAATATTAACTATTGAACCTGAGACCAAAACTTGTTTCCAGAGCAGGTTGAAAGTCCTCCGTTCTAGTCATGTAAATATGACTGCTTTTTCCCCACACAATGAGCTATAACTTTTAGTGTGTATAATACTAAACAACACCTTGAGATCCTCGAAAGCAAATATAGTTTTTGGAAGTGTGGATTGTGGCGATCATTTGGAGCTCAGCAATGCTGCACACCCAGGGAAAAAAGAAGCCCAGAATTTGAAATGTGTGGATCAGATTCATTCTAGGCGTCAAGTTTGAATCTATACCATAGATACAAATTCTAGACACTTTTTTGGATACATAGCATTTCTGTTTGGAGCTTTATTGATTTCTATTACCTTTACTTTATTTTCGTTTTCCTATTTTGTTTTGGGCAAAGAACACTTTGCAGAGACTCAATCACATCTCTGAAAATAATTGAGCTAAAACTCAATATCTGCTTCTGGATTTTCCTTAAATTCACTCCATTTCTTTTGCCTTAGTTCAACCTGATGTTGTTTTAGTCTTTTAATCTTGCACACTCACCTAAGCATAAGATTGTGGTGCACGGACTTAATTTATGAGATTTATCTCAATGCGTGCTGTATTGTAGGTTGTAGCAGCGGTTGGATTTAAGTACAAGAGGCTTGAGATTCCAAGCGATTTAAATCCTCAAGTAGCTTCAATAATTGAAGCTTGTTGGGCCAAGTGAGCTGAAATTCTCATTTTGTTTAGTAACCTTAAGTTCCATGGCCTATTGCAACGTTCAATGCTTTTTTTTTTTTTTTATTTTTTTTTTTCTTTCTATTAATAAAGGTTTTTGTTGCCCTGCAGTGAGCCCGTGAAACGGCCTTCCTTTTCCAGTATCATGGAAACCTTAAGGCTGTTGATTAAATCTCCGTCACCTCAACCAATTCATGCAGACATGCAATTACTTACATGAAGCTGTACAAGATGTGGGAATTTTAGTTATGCACATATATATCATTCTTTGGCGATCCGATTTTTGGCGAGACATGCTGTTCGTATAATCTCAGGTGTGTCTATCTGGAAAACAGCAGCCTTTGACTATTTACTCTTCTAAATGATTTTTGTTGTTGTTAAACTTCCAAGAGTATAAAGACAGGGATCCTAGAAACCCCTCCCCCCAACATCAATGTTTGGTTGAATAAAAAAAAAAAGAAAAAAAAACTCATTTCAATTTTTTAGATTCAATTTTCTAAAAGTTGAGTTTTTTTTTTTTTTCCCGTGTTTTTTTTTGTTTTTAGTGAATATTTTTTAACTTTTAAGCAATTTTTAAATTTTTTTATATGCATTTTACTTAAATATATCTAAAAAGTAAATATTTCTATAAAAATATATATTTTAAAAAATCAATAAATACACAAGAATACAAAAATGTATTGAATTCTCGTATTTATTTATTTTTTTGTATTTTTGGTATTTAGTGAATTTTTTATAGATTTTTTTCACAAATATTATATTTTTAAGTGTATATATGTTAGGTGTATCTAAAAATTAAAAAAATTTGCTTAAAATATTTAAAAAATTCAGTGAAAACAAAAAAATGCGAAAAATAAAAAATTTCAATTTTTTGAAAAGTGAATCTTGAAACCAAACAATTTTATGTAATTTTCTCTTTTTTGAGATGGAAATAATTTTTTGAATAATCAAAAATAAATTTGTTTTTGGGTGCATATTGTTTTCTTGGGTTGAAAAATCCTATTTCTTACTATGATGCAATTTTGTGCAGGACCTTTTTTTTTGTACATATAGTTCTGTTCGCATTCCTTTGAGAATATTGATTTTTATGCAAGCCAGGAAGCTGCTGCTGTTGTTCTTTGAGGAGATCGTTTTCCGCATTTCCATATATATATATATATATATATGTATGTATCCTTTTCTGAGAAAGATTATTGCTTCCTCAAGTGATTTTGTGATTCAAATGCCGGCATGTCATGTGCAATCTGTCTGCACATAATTTTGTATGTATGCATTAGTATTGTAACTGAGATCAGCTAAGAAGAGTCGAACTTACTGGCATTGCACATTGCTTGAGTGGATGTGTCATAGCTATTACCATTGTATACACATTTGAAAGGTTATCAATTGGCTCAAATTTCTCTCTGCATCCGTCTTCCTATGCTTCTTTGGTTTCCAGGTCTTGAGACATCTTCTGAGTGCACCTCAATGATACAATTTAGGCGTCACAGATGATACTAGATGTGCCGAGATTTGTTTCTTTGCATTTTGAAATAATATGGACCTTGTAATCTTTATAAAAAAAAAAAAAAAAAAAAAAACCCCAATTTACAATCCAACTTGTAATTCCTAGGGTTGTGGCACTTGGGTAAGGTTTTGGGGTATTAGACCTGAGGTCTTAGGTTCTACACTTCCTAGGGCCAACTCTTACGGGTTTGGTGTGTGTAATGATCTTATGACAACTCTCTAAGTGCTGGGCGAATCATATCTAGGGTTTGGGTGTGTGGTCAAATTTTAGCAGTTGCACTTTCTGACTTAAATAGTGTGTGCATTGTGGAGTCAGTGTACACACTTGAGATTTGCCTCTCGTCCTATTCCGGTTAAATCGATACTAGGAAATTGATTCAGATGGTGGAGAATAGACTTGGAGAGTTTACTCGTTAATAAAAAAAAACTTGTAATTCCTAAATGTGAAGTACAACATAAAGAGTTTTTCAAAGATAAGGTCTGGAGTTTTATGCGATAATAGAGTGTAATTAGGCAAATCAATAGTGTAAATAGAAGCACTGTAGCTCATTGCTAATAATATTTGAAGAGTTGTTTTGATTGTAAAATTCGCAAATTTTAACCAACCTAACTAAACTAACAAGATATATGTCATAATTTTTGTTATATATATATATTGAATTGTAGAATCAAACCAAATTAAATTGTTTTTTATGAGTTGGTTCTGGCCTGGTTACGATTCTATTTTTTTAAAAACTGTAAGAATTAATTTGATTCTTGATTTATTCTATAATTGGATCAATTCGATCTGTAAACATCCTTGTCATTACACTAGAGCAATGTTCTAAATTCGTATCAATGTTGTGAAATTTCTAATTGTTGATCAAACTAAAAAAAAGGGAACAAATTTAATGCTAAACTAGGGTAGGCCTTGGCTTCAACTTGCAAAAACATGTTTGGAGTTGATTTTTTTGTTAGTTTTTTCGTCTTTAGTAAATTTTTTGAAAAAAAATTCATAGTGTTTCACACTTTTGAGTAGATCTACTCAACTAGATTGAAAAAGTTAAAAATTTGGTACTTTTTTTTTGTCTTTATTAAATTTTTTAATAAATTATTCTATTTTTTTTAATGTACTTTTTAGACTTGTTTGTACAAGACCGATATGAAAAGTTAAAAATTTGACATAATTTAAAAAAATTTCTCTAAAGATAAACAATTTAGAAAAAAAATATAACTTTTTTAGTCGGATGCCAAACAAGCTTTAAGGCCTCGTTTGAGAACAAGCTATTTTAGTAAATTTTTAACTTTTGAATCAAAATATGAGGTAAAACATAACTTTTTAATATAATTTATTAACTTTTTGACTTTTTAACTAAAATGTAGAGTTATCAAACAAGACCTAAGTCCTATTAAAAATTGGGTCAAGTTAGGGTGGTTAACAAATCTTCCCGCACAAGTCAACCCAGTACTGTATATAAGAAACAAAGCCCAAATGGTATTACCCAGTCCAATCCAGCCCTTAGTTGGCCCACACTCAGCCCACCTCATCTCCGCCTTATCACCTGTCGCTGTCTCTTTTGGTCCCAAAACTCCCAAGAAAAAAGGAAATGAGTAGGAGCACTAATTAGTGCCACCACTAATGATGTGGCAATAGGTCTCACCTACTATCATAGTATTGTTGTGTCTATTTTTTTTTTTAAAAGTAAATGCCACATCATTAGTGGTTGCTTTAGAACACCACTTTTAGTGGTCTCTAGCATTGCCCCAAGAAAAAAGCACATCACAAATTCGTTTGGTTTAGTATTCAACCGTGTTGGGACCCCAGCACCCCCGCTCCACGTGGGGCTCTGTAATTGCCAAATAGAAAAAAAAAAAATTTCAGCCAATAAGAAATAGTGGGGGTGGTGGGGGTCACCTCCACTGGGGGTCCAATGCATTTTTCGTTTAGTATTTAAAATTCAAAAATGATCTGGACCCCTTCAGAGACCCCCTCAACCCCTTCAGGCCTTTGATTGACCAGATTTTTTTTTTGTTCTTTCTCCTCCAATCACCAACCCCACGTGTGTGGGGGGTGGTGGGGGTTGATGATTGAGGGGGTCTCAATCACTTCTCTTTAAAATTTGGGTGAATTATACTAATAGTCCCTATAGTTTGGAGCTTGTGTCACTTTGGTCTCTGACTTTTTAATTGTGACACATTTGACCCTGAATTTTGAATATTGTTTCAAATAAGGACAATTGAAAATATCATTAGATTTTTCAAGGGTAAAATCATTAATTTGATAAAATATAAACTAATTTGACAAAAATAAATGTCAAACAAATATTTTTGAATTTTTAAAAATTATTTCTACCCACTAAAAATAAAATTATGTAAAATTGATAAATCTTTTAGACATTTATTTATTTATTTATTTTATCAAATTTATTTTTATTATGTGTTTGGATGATGATCATATAAAATTAATTTTTAAAAATTAATCATGTAATTTTTATTAATTTTTTTCAATTTTACATAATTTTATCATTGGTGGATAAAAATAATTTTTTAAAAATTAAAAATATTTGTTTGATATTTATTTTTGTCAAATTAATTTATATTTTATTAAATTGACGATTTTGCCCTTGAAATTAAACAATAGTAACCCCAAAGCCCTGTTTCAAAATCTTTTTCTTAAAACTCATTTTATTTAATTTTCTCTTTTTATAATACAAAAATAATTTTTTAGTGTTTATATTTGTCAAATTAATTTGTAATTTATTTTAAAAAATTCAAAAACTTATGTTTGACATTTATTTTTGTCAAATTAATTTATATTTTATTAAATTGACGATTTTGCCATTGAAATTAAACAATGGCATATTCAATTGTCCTTATCTGGAACAAGATTCAAAATTTAAGATCAAATGTGTCACAATTGAAAAGTTAGGGATCAAAGTGACACGGGACCCCAACTATGGGGACTGTTAGTGTAATTTGCTCCTAAAATTTTGAATTGTATTTTAAAAATAATTTATTAAATAAAGTTTTAACAATTAAAATTTTATTTGATTATAAAATTTGAAAATAATTTATATATTTTTATAATTATAAAATAGAAAATATTCATAGATAAGTGGTAAAATATTATGGGGGAATGATGGTGTAATTATCTTAAAAAGAAATTGAGAAACAAGAACGCATAATTCTCTATACACAAAACGAATTGTACTTTATGTTCAAAAACAATAGTCAACTTATATATAAAATGTTAAAAAAAAGAGAGAAAAAAAAGTTAATAAAAATATAAAATGTAAGAAAAGAGAAAAGAAAAAAAAATATTAATAAATAAAAAAAATTAAAAAATTTATTAACCAAACATATTTATTTTAACTTTTTATCTAAATATTAATTTAAAAATTAAACGCTCTCTCTCTCTCTCTCTCTCTCTCTCTATATGTATATACAGATTTATACGTACACACATATATATAAAAAGCACTGATCACTGCAAACCCTATCTCTCGATTCGAAGACGCTGGAATCCTTCATCCTCTACCCTCCTTTCTCTCCTCGAATCTTCAAATTTGTAGTCAAAGCCTCAATTTTTTATTTTTATTTTTATTTTTTTTTTGATTTGATTGGATTGGATTTGATTCTCTGTAGGTATATTAGGGTTAGGGTTTTGATTTGTACGAATCATTTCAATTAATCGCTTAACTTCTTGAAATGTACTTGTTTTTCTTGTTTTCTTTGAATTTGATCAGTATTATGTAACAGAGAAAATAGCTAGGATTAGGGTTAGGGTTTTCGATATATATATTTTTTTCTCTTGGTTGTGTATTGGTTGTGGTGATGGAGATGGAGAGTTCTCGCAGACCTTTAGATAGATCAAGAGAACCGGGTCTGAAGAAACCTAGATTGGCCGAAGAGCAACCCATCGTCGATCGCAATTCAAACAACAGGTCTTTTGTGGCTTCGAGATATCGAGCTAACGACAGAGATAGAGACTCGGAGAGTAGTGATTCGGTGAGAGGGACTTTTCAACAACAACAATATCAAGAGCTTGTGAGTCAGTACAAGACTGCTCTTGCGGAGCTGACTTTCAATTCCAAACCCATCATTACTAATTTGACTATTATTGCCGGAGAGAATCAGCACGCTGCGAAGGCGATCGCAGCTACGATCTGCACGAACATTCTCGAGGTGATTCCGGTTTACAGTGTAGCTGTTTGTGTGTTCAATTCAGTGATATGTTGGTTGAACTGTAAGGGAAATCAGTATCGGATAAAGGAAAAAAGAAAGCCTTTTTTTATTTTATTTATGGTTTTTTCGTATTGGGTTAGTTGAATTAGTGTTATGATTATGTCTACCAATTAGTGAAATAGCAGGAGTTAAATTGTAAATAGAAGTGGTCTTATTGGATTTTTTAATTTTATTTATTGTTTTGAATAACTATGTTGAGTTTGTGCTTCTTTTGAACATGGGATGTCTATCAATCCAGCAAGTTGTGGTTTTGCCCTAACCTAGACCAAGTAATTGCATTCATCGTTTCCACTTGTTGAGGATGCTTAACGTGAAGTATGTGCTACACAAGCAATGACATAATTGATCTTTGATTCTAATTTCTTTTTCTTTCTTTCTTTCTTTCTTTTGAGAAGCTTTCAACCTTCTCACAAAATAATTTTTTTGGCTTGGTGTCATCGTTTACATTGCACATCTTTAATTCAACATGTGGCTACTTAATCAAATTAATGTGTTGGCATGAAATCGCTGAACAACGAATCCATTACTTAATATGTGATATGTGCACTCTGTCGGTTATCACATACCTCACTCTACTGTAATCGATTTGGTTGGACAATGGAAAGCCTAAATATTATACATGATGTGCCAAACACTTTACAAGCATATTTATGAGTGTGTATTCTGACAGAGCTACCTTCACTGGAGGATGAGTTTTATAGAATACAATGTGCTGCAGGGTGAGAATTGGAAAACATAGAGATGGGTCCATTACATCCTTGTGGCTTTCATTTTGCATGAAAGCAGTATTTGATGTTTTGTAATTTTCATTATAATGAGAACAATGCAGTTATTTTTTAAGAACGTTGAAGTGCATTGCTTTCTTTTTGTGTTAGTGGTTTCTTTCTTATGATCACTGCAAGATGGATTAGCTTAGAGCTTTTCTTCAATTAAGATCTTGTTTACTTTGTGGGAAGTTAACTTTGTCCAGTGTCTTGGGTCTGGGCATGATTTCATGTCCTGTCATCTTTTCATTTGCGGTGCTTATGCTATGCATTAATCTGTCTAGATGATATGGAAAAGCTGATTTCACTCCTGCGAAGTTCTATTGGCTGCTGGTGTTGAGCTCCATTTATATTCTACTATCTTAATTTTCAGGGCAGCATTAAACTTCTGTTCTTTCAATCAGAAGACATAATTAGTTTGCATCCTAGTTGGTTGTCAAGTTTACTTGCAATTAAGTGTCTGCTAGAAGTTGAATCAGAGACTTAACTCGTTTATTCTTAAATTTGGATTTTAGTTGGTGTTTTTTTTGTCCTCTCTCTTTAAAATATTCTGTTAAGCCTCTTGGTAGAGGATGCAGTTCTTACAGAAAGTGCTAAAGAATGTTCTCTAATTTGTGGTGAAGGATGATGCTTTTAAGTGGTATATAATATAGGAGAGTGGCAGATGTGAGAGTGCACAAGCACCTGTCAATATTATTTAGTATGGGAAAAGGTCATCCATTTAAAATGTTAGGAGAATATAGGCATTCTATCGCTGGGATGTTCGAAGAATTGAGTTGTTGCATCAAATCATCAACTGGCTTGCACTCAGGAGTGCAATGTGTGATCTTCATTTCTAAGGATAACGATATCATTCGCATTGTTTTTTTTCTCTTGCTTTTTCGTGTCTTTGTGCATTCATCATTATCCTAATACTATGTAACAGTGGTCATGGAAAGGCTGATGGTATCAGCAGTTATAATTATAACTTGTTTGTAGATTTTAAAGCACGACTTGCTTTATCTGATGATTTTGATCTTAATTTTCCATATTTTTTTTTTCCAGGTTGCTAGTGAGCAAAAGCTTCCATCACTTTATCTTTTAGATAGTATTGTGAAGAATATTGGGAGGGATTACATAAAATATTTTGCTGCCAGATTACCCGAGGTTAGAATTTATTCTGCACTTAGTTTCTCATCACTGCAATGCATTACACATTCTAATGATGATGCTTCCAAGGAACACTCAGGAGCACTATATTACTGTCATCCCATTATTTATGATATTGTTATAAATTTGTTAGTTGACAGAAATAAAGATCATAATGCACCATTCTCCCCTCTTATCTGTTAATTGACTAATAAATTGCATCCTATCAAATGTGGAACAATGTTATAACATGTCTTTGCTATGTATCTCCTCCTATATGCTTGATGTCCATTAGTCATATCATTTGATAGTTGCATGCTTTGGTTCATGTTTTAGGTATTCTGCAAGGCATATAGACAGGTTGACTCTTCTATTCATCCTGGAATGCGGCATCTTTTTGGAACATGGAAAGGAGTCTTCCCTCCTCAGGCACTTCAGGCGATTGAGAAAGATCTTGGTTTTCCACCTGCTGTCAATGGTTCATCTTCAGGATCTACAACATCTAGAACTGATTCACAGCCTCAACGGCCAGCACCCAGCATTCACGTAAATCCTAAGTATTTAGAGGCAAGACAGCGTTTTCAACAGTCAAGCAGGGTATGTGTACATCCACAATCATTTTTTGGTTCTGTTATCTTATATTTGTCTTCTGATTTTATAGATGTGCTAAGCTTACCAATATATTCTTAAGTGGGAGTTCCTGTGAAAATACTGAAGATGTGTTACGCTTGACATGTTCCAAAAAGTGAAAAAAGGATAAACAGTAAACTAAGAATAACAATAAACAAACTGGATGGCATCCTTTAGCGACCTTGTCATAAATAAATATAACTAGGTGTCTTTACCACCACTTTGGCATACTAGATTAGGAGCAGGGCCTAGGGATCCAACATGCAGGAGGGTCATGGAGGATTGTGGCTTGGGGGTTAGGAGTAGGGGTTTGTTGTGGTTGCTTGGTGCGCTCTCCCTTTGGGGACCAGCCACCTTAACTAGTCCCAAAAAGAGAAAGGCGTTGATTCGGACATCTTACACCTTAGAAGAGGTATTATACTTACCACCTAGCTATGATATACTTTCTGAGATATTATACCTTACTTTGCAACTCTAACGATATGAATCCCAAGGTTTGAATTATGGGACACAGAAGTACATGTGATATTTCTATTGCCAAACTAAGGAGAGAGACAACCACCTGTCTACAGGTGAGCTGGCTCTCAACACTCCAGGACCTTATTAAGGGGATATCCATGCAACATAAACGATCATCCTTCCTGTCACCTTCTTCCCCATGCCATCCTCTCTCTCTCTCTCTCTCTCTCTCTCTCTCTCTAAGGTTACCGTGGTTCTCTATTGCTTCCCCTCAAGTGACTCTTTACCATTGAAGTGCCCAACCATCTTCTCGTAGGACCATGACTGATCACCTCACCTTCCACTACTTATAGTATGCACACATTCACCTTTAGCTTTAGATTAAGTATGCCTTATCATAAAATTAGAAAAATTGTGTTAGACTAATGAAAATCAACATTCCAAGAGATTAAATCTTTAACTAAAAATGGTTGATTCCCTTATTTTTGTTTAATGTAGCACCCTAAAGTGTATTTTATAGTTGTGTGTTTATTTATGAATCCATAAATGATGGTTGTGGAATAAATTTACAAGTAATATGTTCATTTGTCTTGGTCATATTTCTCCTCTTTTTTGCCTTTATTTAAGGATTAAGGTTGACTATGCAACTTCTGTACTTCCATGTTTTCATCTCAGAACTGAGTAATGGATTATTACTTTCTGTCATCTTGCATCAAAGCAAGATCACAATCACACACAGAAGTATACACTGGCATACACCATCATTTTCCCAAACTTGAGAAAGATGGATGGCTCTTGTAATTAATATGGATTTCAAATGGATATATATATATATATATATATCAAGGACTTACTTTCTGTGCATTAACATGGATTTTTGTGTTGAAGGTAAAAGGGGCAGCCAGCGACAGTACCGGAACCATGGTTAACTCACTTGAGGATGCAGAGAGGTTGGACAAGGCTGTTGGTATTACTTCTGGGAAGCCATGGGCAGAACCTCCTCTTAAGATGCATGTATGGGAATTGATTATTGCATTTTATGCACTTTAATATTCCTTCTGATGGTTACATAGTAAAGTGAAAATTGTGCAGAATATTCAGCGTCCTCAAAGAGATGTGTTGAATGAGTCTGTTTGTGAGAAAAACATTGGTGCAGCATCAGGAGATTATGAATATGGTTCTGATCTTTCAAGGCATTCAGGTTTGGGAATTGGAAGAGCTAGTGAGAGGGTTACGGAGAGAGGATTCGACAAACCTTGGTATGGAGCTGGCAGCAACATGGCAGAGACGATTTCCAGCCAAAGGAATGGTTTTGATATCAAGCACGGGTTTCCAAGTTACCCAGCCCCTAGATCGACAAACACTGATGTGCATCTACAGCCAACACAGAGTGTTTCCGGTAGAAGCAGCAGTGGGATGGATAGGAGCTGGAAGAACTCTGATGAAGAAGAGTATATGTGGGATGATTTGAACTCTAGATCAAGTGATCATGGTGCAATCAATAGGTCAAAGAAAGATCGTAGGATGCCTGATGACTCTGAAAGATTGGTAAGATCTCAGGAAGGGAAATGAATGCTTAAATGATGAAATAAGATATTTTAGTCCTTAGTTTGAAATTTTCTGTGAGAGAAATTAACTGGAGTGAAATGTGAAAAAAAAAATCAATATTTTAGACTATGTATTCTCTTCAATGCCTTGTCTTGTTTCAGATTTCATAGTGACTGCTAGACAGATTATTTTTGGTTGGTGTGTTAGACAGAGATCAAGTCCAGGGATTTTGAGTTTAAATGGGATTATGAGTATGTGTTTACTCAAGTTTCACACCGTTGGTGTCTTGAACCATTTGATCTGTGTACTTAACTGGGGTCAAATCGGTTGTTGGGTTAGATTTGCTGCTTGATATATTAAATAGGACTCTTGTGGACTGGTTCTTTCCAGTTTTCTAGCATACCTGCCCTCTTTATTGGTGCCATGCATGGATAAATGTATTTTCCTGTCTGTTTCGTGATTACCTGCTTGCTTGTGCATCACTTGCGTAATTCTATTTGTTTATGGCATGGTGAAAATGATAATTTTACCCTTACACTCAAGGTATTATCTGGGTCTAGGGATGTGTTCAAGTCATTGCTGTAATACTTGCCACTTTCATTTAGTTGCATGGCAACAGATGATTTCACTATCTTTCTTGGGCAATCTAATGTGAAGTGACCAATCAAATCATGTCGGTTTATTTTGGTGAATATATATATATATATATAAATACATAATTAAATACATCTCTTAAATGCTTACACCCTGGATTACTTTTAACTTTACTTGGATCATTTCAGTTCATTTGGAATTATGGGGCAAGATTACGTATAAGGTAGAGTAAATATAAAAATTGTTTTTATGGCAAGAAAGACTGATAGTCTGTTTGCCTTGTTAGAATAAAACATTTAATACTTTATTTTAAGTCTTTGATTGGTTTACTTAGCTTGGATCATTGTAGAGTGTGCCGTTCAACTGTACATTATTACTGCAAGTGTGTGATAGATTAGTCTCGGCTGATTTACATTCCCATGTGCAGGGCTATGAAAACCATCTCCGGAAACGACAAAACGCACATGATGTTGGGTCAAGGGTCGATAGAGAAGCTTCAACTGATTCACTGTCCACAGAACAGAGAGATCAAGCATCTTTTGGGCATCGAATGCCATCATTGTGGACACAGGAACAACATTCAACAGATGGCCATTCAGGCTCTGGTAGAATTATCTCTGGTCATTCAGAAGGTTTTCCTAGTTCTTTCAGTGGGTTGCCAACAACTGCAAGTTCTCTAACCAGGATGCCATTCAATTCACAGATGGGACCATCTCATCTTGGTACCGCAAGTTTTGGGTTTTTGACTAATCCGGTGTCAGGTTCCACTGGATCAGTGGGGCAACGACACTCTGTAGGATCTGCATCGCCTTCTGGGCAGTCACCTAGGCACCAGCATCCTCCCTCACCTTCGCTAACGCGCCATCCCCATCAAGTATTACACACTTTGAATGACCAAGACAATCTGCAAGCTCATCCCCTTCCTCATCCAGAGCTGAGAAAACCTCAATTTTCAGTGCCGTTAAACATTAAGCCACCTAATCAATTTTCTCAGGATTATGTGCCTGTGCATACTCAGAATATTCATCCAGGAAAGTCTCAAAAATTGCCATCCCAAAATATAGAGACTTCATCTCCCATTATGCCTTCTAGTCAACTGAAGCAACATGTTCCTTATTCGCAGCAACTACCACCAGACCCTATATTGTCTGAACCTTCTGGTCTATCCCATAAGTTGCCAATGCCTCATATTGCAGGTTCTGGAAACCCGTCAACCACTGGGAATTCATTATCAGATAATGCAACTCCTGCAGAAACCCCAGGGCGACAAAGCACGAGTAGCTTGTTGGCCTCAATAATGAACAGTGGAATACTCACTAACAACTCTGTTACTGATAGCCTGCCTAAATTGGGTTTTCAGGATTCTGGGTCATCATCTCAATCAGCAACACAACCGCCTCTACCAAGTGGCCCTCCGCCTACTCAATTCACACCCTCTGGGTCCTCAGGGCCTAGATTTGATGCAGGATCCCCACCAAGTCTACCTTCCCATGAAAAAACACCAGTTTCCACAACTTTCTCTCAGCGAAAGGTTGAACAGCCGCCTCTGCCACCTGGTCCTCCCCCTTCCTCACTTATGGGTAGTGTATCAGCACAAGCTTCAAAAACAATGAATTCTGTCTCTACTCCAGTGTCAAGTCTACTCAGCTCATTGGTTGCAAAGGGATTAATTTCTGCATCGAAGTCAGAGTCACCAACACCTGTGTCAGAGCGGATTCCTACTCAACTCCAAAACCAGAAAGCAAGCATTATCAAAACTAGCTCTGTGCCTGTTTCTTCAGTTCCAGTAACCTCAACTATCACAGTTTCATCTAATGAGGATGAGCTTTCCAAACCTGCAGCTAAGAGCTCTGTGACGTTATCTCAATCCACCCCAGCAGAGATAAAAACTCTCATTGGTTTTGAGTTTAAGCCAGATGTGATTCGTCAGTCGCATCCATCTGTAATCAGTGAACTCATTGATGACCTTCCTCATTGTTGCAACATATGTGGTCTTCGACTTAAACTTCAAGAACGATTTGAGAGACACATGGCGTGGCATGCGTTGAGAAATCCTGAAATGAACAGTTTAAATAAGGCTTCAAGGAGTTGGTATGCGAATTCAGCTGATTGGGTTGTTGGAAACTCTGGAATGCCATCTGGATATGAATTCACTGGTGTGTTGGAAGCTCCTAGCAAGGCAATGGAGAAGAGTGAGGAGATGGTTTCTGCAGATGAAAGTCAATGTGTATGTGTTTTTTGTGGTGAGGTTTTTGAAGATTTCTACTGTCAAGAAAGGGATGAATGGATGTTCAAAGGAGCTATTTACATGACCATGCCTTTGGGAGATGGTATGGTAGGAACTTCAAGTGAGAGTGCTGCTAGGGGTCCTATTGTTCATGCAAAGTGTATATCAGAAAGTTCAGTTCAGGATTTGGGATTGGCCAGCAGTGTGTAATTGGTAAGGATATGATATTATAGCTAGGATGATCAGTAGAATATTTTTCTATTTTTGATAATTTGGTATTTGGCCCCAAGGACCGACTAATCTGAGGGACCAATCCTACAGTCCACTAGCAATTAAAGATGGGTCAAAGCTCTATATGGACTGGCCCTAAAAAATTGTTTGCATTTAGGAGGTTTCGAACCTGAGGCCATTGAGGGAGGACACCCCCAGGCCTCGAGCCTTGATCACCAGGCCAAACCCTTTGGGTTATTAGAAGAATATTTTTTAATCCAACTGCAGAATGATATTTTTGTTCTTTGTAAAGATGTGCTTGACATCATTGAGGGTTTGGATTCACCATTTGACATGCCCCCATCTGATTAGATAATTTGGCCTAGTAAATTTGATCTAGTTAATCTTTCATGCTGGTGGTTTGTTTTTCTTGGAATTTGTCTTATTTTTGTTTCTTATAGGTCAAAAGAACTTTTATATTTTGTTTCTTATAGGTCAAAGAACCTTGTAAGTGAGTGAATTCAGATCTTCTGCATGAGTGCTTTAGAAACAATTGGCCCTACTATTTGCCTTCATGCTCATGCCTGCTGCCTACTTTTGGCAAGTTTGGTTTAAGCTTTGGAATTCATGTTGCAGTGGTTGGTGGCAGATTTGGTCATAGCTCTAGGTGTATGTGGCAATGCCAGTTTTTGCTCTAGGATGCATTGTCTCCCTTCGAATAACTATGATGTTGTAAAATGGTGGATGCTAATTGGGTTAAAAGTGTTTTGTAGCTGTTGTACTTGCGAATACATTTTTATTATGGCCACATTTAGTTTATCGTGGTAAAGTTTTCAATGTGGGCTAATCCTGGGAGTATGTACAAACTTGTTCTGTATTATTATCATCAAGTTTCAATGAAGGGCATGCATTTATGCATTTATAGAAACAAACAAATTAGATTTAACAATAATTATATTTATCTGGAAAAACTAATTTTAATCTTGATTATTGTTGTGTTTCTATTTTCCTTCTTGTTTTTTATATATCTTCTTTTCTCTTTCTGCACTTTTCAGATGGATGATTGATGGTATCTCTTATTTTGTTGGCAGGAAAAAGGAATCACAATATTTCAAGGTGGAAAAGGAACACGATCATAATGCATTCGCATATGGTAAAGAAACTAATGGAGGATAACCAGGTTTTACAATTCATAACTTATATATGCATCGCCCTTTGGTGCCAAACTACCTGTGCCTAAAATTGTTGCCAAAAGTTGCTTACTTGTTTTGTCTGTTCTCAATTTTCCTTTTCTCAATTCACAGAGGAATCATATAAAGAAATGCCAGTTCCCCAGATGGTTTGCACACCATTTCTGTTCTCTAATTTGGTTGATGTTTTTGTTTTTGTTTTTCCCTTATTTTTGCTTGTTTTGATTAGCTAAATCAACCTTTTGGCTCGACTTCTGAATCTGTTGCGGGTGCATAGCAAAAAACGGCCAGCCATGTACATTCAGCTTTGCAATCAGCAGAATGCATGCCGTTATATCATCAAAGTCGCAAATGCGCTCGCACATTTTGTTTGTTTTTATGCCCTTCTTTGGCTGAGCATTGTTTTCTTCTCTTTTTTTTTTTTTTTGGAAAAATTATTTAAAGTACTCTGTTTCTAATAGAATAATCAATTTCAGTACTATACTACTGGCCTTGCAGCTGTCCTTAAACTTGTATTGGCGTAACATTGTTCTTTCTTTCATCTTTCATGTTGGTTTTTGCTCATTATTTTGTGGCTATTGGTGTGAAACCCCAATTGGATGATGGAAATTTGCCTATTATTATTGGAAAATGTTACGAGCATTCTTCTTGTTTTTGGTGCTCTTCATGCTTAGACGAGTTGATTTTTAAAGTCACATATGGAACAACAAACCATATTTTTGTACAACATAACATAATCATTCTTTGTAATTCTTCAACATCCTGGATTATCAATCATTGTCATGTTCATTCTTTGTATTTCAGTTATCTGGTTTTGTTAAGCTTTGGTGGGATGAATTTGCAAATGAACATGCTAATGAATGGGCAGGCATGTATTTCTTCTGATTTTCCTTGTCCTATGTTAGTATAATTGAATTGATCCTACACAGACATACTAAAGTAGGAATTCTTTTCGGGTTAATTACTCTTGGGCCAGATTGTCCGATTAGGTTGGATGAGATTGCAAGTGATTGGGTTGGATGAGATTATAAGTGACGTGATTATTATTAGTATGGTGATGGTGGTGATATTAGGTTGAAGGTGTGAGATATATTGTATTTTTTTTTGCATGTTAATGTTATAGTATTAGTTGATTGTGATTAAATGTAGTATAAAATTATGTAAAAAGCTGTCATTACATAAAAAGTGACCCTTATTTTTGCAAAATGGGGGAATATGGTATTTTTATGTGCAATAAGAAAGTTAATCTCACCCTTTGGGGGATTAGTAGTCTCATAGAACTAGGAATTCATTAAATAATGATTTATTTGGAGCCCGTTAAATTACTCATGCAACTTAACAAACATAGCTTTTAGATTATTTGTATCATAAATTTATAGAGGAATTTACTGATGGAGCTAAACAAGTATGGCTTTAAAGTTGCTTCTGTCATGTAGTTATAGAGGAATTTACTCATGCTTTACGGATGTTTGTATGCCATGAAATTATAGAGGAAATTACTCATGGAGCTACACAAGCATGGCTTTAGGGTTATTTGTATCATGAATTTATGGAGGACAAGAAAAAGATTGATAATGGAGTAATGGAGTCAAATTTATGTGGTATTCTCCACAAATGAGAGGAAGAGAAGGAGATAGTAATAGTTCAAGATTTTTTGAGAACTTAAATTAATATCACAAATAGGGCACTATTTTGTTTCGTTTTTGATATTTTGTGTTTGGTTAGGGAATTTGAGGATGGATTGGAAAGAGAAATGAAAAAGGTAAGTGAAATGTGAATAAAATATATTTATATTTCACTTAGTTTTACACGTCTTTTTCTTTTCTCTTTCTAAATCTCTCTTCAAATCTCCCACCAAATACAGTTGAATCATTAGGAAGAAGGTGTGAGATTGGGACAAATTTGGTATATTGAGGCTTTATTTAATTACCAAGATTAATAGAAGGATTAACTGTGAGTGAGTTAACAATTTATTAGATTAGTGCATGATTGGTTATCCAGTTAGATTAATAAATAACTTTCTCTTGTACTTGTTTGTTTTGCAATGAATATAAAAATATATAATTTTAATTATTATTTTATTATTTATTATTATTATTATTATTACATTATTAGTTGTAGAATTGAAAATTTTGTCAATTTTGTTAGATAGAATGTCAAATGAAAACTTAATTGTTTTGAAAAGTTGGTTAAAAATTGATATTTTGGTTTTTTTTACAGCTTTTTTTTAAAAAAAAAGTGTAAAAGGTAAAGAGATTATGTGGTCCAAAATTGATGAAAAGTTATCTTTTAGCTTTTTTTAGCTCTTCCCAAAACTATAACCAAACACTAGAAGGCAAAGTCTCATAGATTAGTAATTTTTAATTGAACGTGCCTTAAAAGTACATAAAATAGTAAAAATTTTAAAGTTTTACACAATGAAAGGGAAGTCCTATTTTAGCAACACCCCATTTTATTTAAAAAGTTAAAAAATTACTATAAGAAAGTCAAATTTTTTTTTTATTACTTTTTTGTATGTCTTTTCATAAAAAGTTAAAAAATTATTAAAAATAAATTCTCAAAACAACCATGTCAATTGGTTAAAATAGTAAAAAAACTAAAAAGTCACTACAAAAAATCAGCTATTCTCTCTATTTTTTTACATATTTTTTTTATAAAGAAATTAATTTAAGAATAAACCTAAATAAATATTAGTTTACAAATAGATTCTGGATAATTGTCCAAGTGATTATAAATAGGGTACTTAGGTACTAATGTGAATGATGTTTTAGATTCGAATCTATGAAGAGTCATTGGCCCGTTGTAATTTAACTATCAACATATTAACTAATTGTTATCTCGGAGCTGCTAGGTAGCTCGACAAACTCGTTGCCCCGAATGGCTCGATTGTTGGAAACGACTCCGTTTTGACATTTGTTTTTTTCTACTTTTTCCCTCCTCTTTGCTTCCTCTTCTTCCATTCCCCTGGGCAATCTGAAAAATTAGAGGAAGAAGGAAAATTTGGGGCTGTATGAAGAAGAAGAGTCCAAAAAAATCAAACAGCCCCAAAAATTAATCTGAGAAAAAAAAAATCAAAATCAAAACCCAAAATTAAAATCAAAATCAAAACCCAAAATCAAAATCAAAATCAAAACCAATTTCAGCAAAAAAAAAAAAAAAACTGCCCCAATTTTAGCACAAAACAGCCCCAATTTCAGCAAAAAAAAATCCCCAATTTCAGCACAAAACAGCCCCAATTTCAGCACCAAAACTGCACCAAATCAACACTAAAACAGTCGCAAATTGAGCAAAACCCATGTCCAAAACCCATGTCCAAAACCCACAAAAGCCATCAAAATAGAAACATAATCTACTTATTATTATTATTATCAGCCTTTGGAGCACCATGTCTCTACGCGTTCACACAGATGGATGTTTCACATAGAGATGAAGGATGAAAGGATACAAGACGGACCAAATCGCAGCTTTCCATTCGGTCGGCGAAGTCATCTCCGGCGTCCTCTCTTCTTCCTCCTCCTCCTCCTCCTCCATTTCTCTCTTTCTCTCTGTTTGTTTGGGTTTGGAGTGGAAGGGAAAGAAAGAAAGCAAGAAAGGAAAGGAAAGGAAAGGCCAAAAAAAACGTCAAACGACGTCGTTTCCGAAATCGAGCCATTCGGGACAAATAAGTTTCGAGCTACAAAACAATTTCCTTGTTATCTAGTGGAAAAAAATAAGAAAAATGTTTGGGAGCACTAAAAGGGGATCACTAAAGGGAGCACTAATGATGTGGCAGTAGGCCCCGCCCACTTTCTATGCCTTGTTTTTATTTTTTTATTATTTTTTTTGTCATTTCTAATGTATTAGTGCTATTAGTGATGTATTTTTTAGTGGTCTAAATCATTATTGAAAAAATAAACAAGAAAATACAAAGGCTTGTTTTGGCCGCTTAAAATAGTAGGAAAAGTCACTACAAAAGGTTAACTATTTTTTATTATTATTTTATACACTTTTTTTTTTTTTTTTTGGGTAAAAGTTAATTAAAATAATCATATTTCAAAGACAAACTTTACTATATACACTCCTTAAAAAAAATGTACCATATGCATCTCTAATTATGTTATTTTTTTTATTAAGTTAATTACCTAAAAGTTCTATTTAAAAATGTTATGCTAGCTCAAGTCTTATTTAAGATTTTTTGAACCAATAAGTCAATTTTAGTAAAATTAAGAATATTATCAGTTTTTATTAATTTTTAAAACTAAGAATATTGTTAACTGATAAAAAAAAATAGAACATGAGATTAAACGTCTTTGCCCTTCTACTTATTGGTTTGATTCAACTATCTAATAAAAATCGAGAACATCATCAGTTTTTTTTTTTTTTTCAATTTTAAAACTAAGAACATTATCAGTTTTTTCATTTTTAAAGTTTTTTTTTTTGAAGTTCCGTTATAAATAGAAATTTTTTAGTTTTGTATAAAAAAATAATTTAAATTTTTTAATTTTTTTTGGCACATAATTTTTTTAAAAAGTTTTTTTAATTTGAAAGTTGATATTTTAAAGTTTTGAAAATCAAAATAAATGTCAAATTATCATGTTTTTTTATAGATAATCATAAATGATAAATAATAATTGTTTGAAGGGTAATTCCGACTATTAAAAATTTAATGGGACTTGAAGGTCTAAAAAATCTTAGTAATATGATTATTTAGGAATAAGCTATTTTAGTAATTTTTTAATTTTTTACGAAAAAATGTGCAAAAAATTAAAGAGAGTGATGTGATAACTTATAGTAACTTTTTGAATTTTTTGCTGAAATAGTTACTCCCCAAATGATGCCTAAGGGAGTATAAATTCATAAATTAGAACTTGTGTGTAAATGTTTCATAATTATAACTAATTTTCTTATTTAATTATAACAATATATTAGTTATGACTCATGAGAATTTTAATTATGCCTCATATAATGTTTGATTATAGTTTTTTTATTTTTATTTTTATTTATAGTTATGACTCAAAATTATATCATTTCTTTCATTAATTATAAATTACATATGGTACACACCTTTGTATTATATTCTTTTTTGCTTTTCAAAATAACTCAAAATAACCTTTACATCCTTTTAATTTTTTTGATTAAAATATGCCCATTCAAATTTATTCTATAGACAGTTTCTAATTATTCAAATTTAAGAATTGTTTGGAATATTCTAAATAAGTGTACTTTTTGACTTTTTAAACTAAAAAGTTGAGGAAAAAAATATGGTTGTTTGAGTTAACTTTTTAATTTTTTATGAAAAAATATGTATTAAAAAATTGTATAAATTAGTATGTAGAGAAAATTAAGATTGAGAGTTGTGCAGCCGTAATTTTTGACTTTTGATGAATAATGATAACTTTTTAACTTTTTGAATAACTTTTTAACTTTTTGACACATGCCAAATTTACCCTTAGGCCTCGTTTGGGAACAGGCTAATTTAGTAACTTTTTGGCTAATTGGCTAAAAAAGTAGGTAAAAAAAACTTGTATGTTTGGGATGACTTTTTAACTAATTATGCAAAGCTGTGCAAAAAGTAGAGAGAAGCCGTAATTGTTGATTTTTTTGTATGACTAATTGACTAATTTAATAATTTTTTGACTAATTGACTAATTTAGTAACATTCCAAACGAGGCCTTAATTTTCCTGACATAACACATTGAAAAATTTGAATAGTTATGTGGGGGAGAAAAGTTTTTTTCCTTTCAAATTGAAAACAATCAAAGCAATGAGGGATTTTAAAAGTCAACTACGTATGGAAAAGCAATTCCCAATGACAACTGAAACGACCCATGTTCCAATGTGAGTTCCCCGACATCACAACACTTCCCAAAAAAAAAAAAAAAAAATTACAGAAAGGACAAATGGTGAGGCCCCATGTTATCCTTGTGAATTTGAGGAGAGCTCAAAACTTGGGGGTATAACATTAAGAAGGATGGAGAAGGTGGGTAGATAGGATATTGTATTAGGTGATTGAGAAATATGAGCGACATATTGAATGATGATTGATTAGAGAGTATAACAATTCTGTTACGTAACTCGAAATTTCAAAACAACGTTGTTTTATTCTCTTTTTCTATTCTTTTATCGGTAAGATAATATTTTCTGTACTATTCGAGCCATTTAAGCTCTACGCATTCGAGCTACGGATCATTTTCGAGAATATAAATATGTGATATTCCAGGAATATTGTATGATATCTCCAAAACTTGTGTATGATATATAAATAAAAAATTTATATAATTTTTTATATAAATTAATGTAGTTTAATATAAATTTTTTATTTTAAAATTAAATATTTATAAAAGTAATTTTATTTAAAAAAATAATATTATCATGTTATTTTTGTAATTTTTTTACGTAAATATTTTTGTATGAGTAGTTTTTTAAATTTGTAATTGCAACACACACTTGTCTCTTGTCTACCTTTTAGATCGAAGGGTTTAGACTAATTTGTTTTTGATAATTTAAACTGTTCAACTTATAAGACTTGTTAAAAAAATTATTCATATAAAAAATGAATTTAATGGGATATGAGTAGCTTACTTGTTAGATCAAATTTCTCATCTATTTTTTAATATAAATATATACTGATCACAAATCTACTAATGTCTAATTAACTTAATTTTTTAAAATAAATAATTTACTTAATAAATAATACAAGTTGAATGGTCTGAATTATTAAAATTAGAGCGTCTAATCTAAAAATCAGACTTGAGGCAAGCTTGATACTAAGAATTAATTAATGTCTAAATAATATTTGAAGGATTATATGATGATCTCGATCTTAGCATTTAGTTGAGATTGTGTGACTTTGGATGCTTTGTATTGAATATTAGGCATAAACTCTGAAAGATCATATATTATTTAAAATCACTGTGAGACACTCCATCTAGCAAGCAAATACACTTCTATTATACAATTGGAAAGCGCTATCAACTCCTTTTGCCACAATCATATCATATCATCTTATATATATGTATATATATATATAGAATTTAATAGTTACATATGGTTTCTTACCCAAACACATCTTATATTATATATATCTCTAACTACAAATTTAAGTGTAGAGAAGACATAGGACTTGATGTTTTTTTTTTCTAAGGTGATTCCTTAGGCTTATGGTGTTGGGTGTATATGTAATCCAAGTGAGCCTCTGAAACCATCCTTCTCTTAATGCAATCTTCATCTTTGTCATCATCACACTCCTCCAATCCCATTAGCTGTTGAAAAGAAAAATAACCCAAAATGAATAAAAAATTATCAGAGCATGGTAAAAAAGGGCAAAATCTTTTAAATACTTATAAGGATTAATCATAATTAGTGAAAAATAATTACAAAAATATCCAAGTGGAAGTTCGTACGTTTTAAAATTGTGACCGTATTTATACCAGAACACAAACTCTACTTGCACTTCAATTATTTTGTAATTACTTTCAATTTTTCACTAGTTTATAATTATAACGTAAAATTACAAAGAGAAATTAAAATTAAAGAAAGAAAAGCAAATATATATATGTTCTTACATTATTAAATAGATCATCATCTTGTATCTTGAGGGATGAACCCTCATGAGTGATCATCTCATTAGCTTTCACCAGTAGCTCTTGATGGGGTGGCAAGAGACGAGCAGATGCTATTATTGAGTAAGAAAATAGTAGGAAAATGGTGAGAACCGCTTGAGATATTTGCTTCATGGTTTCAAGACTTCTCTGAGAGAGAGAGAGAGAGAGAGAGAGGATTAAAGGGTTGAAGTGAGGTAGGGGTGGTGGAGTTGTCTTCTTGTATAAATAAGAAGAAAGGCTGGTGTTGTTGGTGAGTCACATGAGGTCCCTCACCACAGAGAAAGAAGGCGGTCTTAATTGGCTAATTATTCAGTAATTTTAGAATATAAATATATGATATTTTATAATATTATGATTGGTAAAAAAGGTAAATAAGTGAAATATTGTATTGAATAATTGAAGAATATAAAGAGACATAAAATAATAATTGATTGAAAATTATAAATAATATGATATTTCGAAAATATTGAATAATTTACCGTTTTAACTTCATTACATTAATTTTGGGTGGGTCCTACATATTCCATCCCTTTTATTTCTTTTGGAGAAATTGCTTTTCATGGAACAGTAGAGCAAAATCTATTTTCATGATAATTCAAGTGTTATGATGTAGTGGGATTATGTTTCGATATTTAGAACGGATAAGAAAATAAGAGAAATGATTTGTTAGGTAAAGAGAGAAAATAAAAGAAAAAAAAATAATGATTATGATTTATCTCTTTTTTTTTTTGGGTTAAATTGGAAAGAAAAGAAAAAAATAGATAGTGATTTCTCTTAAATCTTATTCGGATAGATTACATAAAAATATAGAAAAAAAATCTTACATGTTACATTATTAAAATATTTTTTTTTGATATCCGAGTATTCGGGTCAGTTTTTGCGTACCTCAACTAATCTCCGGATTCTAAAATTAATGACTGGACAAATCTCCAATGACTTTACGGTGTGACTTGAACTCAAAACCTATAAATTTTATATTATCAAAACAACTTGTTATGTTTTTTTGGTAAATGGGTAATTTTGGTAATATATAAAATTAGTAATCTTTTTATTTTTTTTTTTAATTTCAATCTCTCCAATTTTGGAGAGATTTAAAAACTGAATTAGGGGGGATCGAATTTTTTTTTCCCCTCTTTTTCAATCCAAACGAGACGTAAAACCTTTCTTACGTGTAAAAATTGCATAAAAAATAATTTCATCCCTAATACAGTTACTTTATGATTGTACCACCACCCCCACCTTTTTTGGCTTGTGATCTCAGATTTTGGGAGTCTGAATTCGACAATCAATTATTAAATTTTTAGAGTCTTTCATATTTTTTTTTCATTAAATAAATTTTTTTTTAAGATAAACGATAAAAAATTTGTATTAAAATCATAAAAAATACTTAACATTATATTACAAGAACTAATAAATATCACATAATCCTTGCTCTTCCTACATTTTTATAAATAAATAAATCAATCATACCTGCATAATTTAATTTTTTTATAAAATCATTTTCAATGGATAACAATGATAATCCATTTAATCTTTTTTGTAACATGGTTGTCGAAAGTAATTTTTGATGATTTTTAATTTTTTAATAGTAAATTTATTTTAAATTAATTTAAATTTTTTTTAAACTTAAAATATATTTAATATATTACATTAAATTATATTAAAAAAACCTAAGCCATGACGTTGTGGCCTATGGCCATGGCCAGGACTGATCATTTGATAGATCAAAACCAAACAAAAGATGTAAAAATGAAACACCCTTATCAATACTTGACCTTTCCACGCTACTCTCTATCCCATTTCTTAGGGCTGAGCAAGGAATCCGTGAAATCCGTAATCTGATCCAGTCCAGTCCAATCCGATAGGTTTGGATTGGTTTTTTGAATCCGTGGTTCGGTTCTGGATTGAAGAATTAAAAATCCGTAGTCCAAAAATCCGTAGTCCACAGATTGGTTCCGGATTGAACCCCACGGTTCCGGATTGGAACTGATCCGGACCGTATACAAATAGTCTATATTTTATTATACATCCTCCCCCATAGTATCTTATCTTATTCCATATAAAACATAAACTCAAATCTAAACCCGCATAATATCTTCTTTTATTACTTTTGTTTGTTAGTTTTTAATTTTAATATTATTGTTCCTCCGCACTTACAATATATTTAAACTAGAATCTAAAATAACAATTTTCTTCTTCATAATAATAATAATTTTTTAAAATTTATTTATATCTTATAAATGTAAGGATTAATTGGTAAAAAATTCATATATTATCTAGTTGGCCCAAAATTTAATCATTTTTGGTGACAAGGATACACATTGAAAAGTTAGCGACACCTGATAAAAAATCGTTGAAAAATTAGTCGAAAAAATCAGCCGTGTCTGGCAATGGTGACCGGTGACAATGAGTTGGTCAGATAGATGATATTGGACAGATATACAAATAGATAAAGTGACACATACACATACATGTTACATTTGAATAAATAGATAAATATAAAAGTTTTTGTATAAGTGAATGCTATTTTGACCGATAATACCCTTTTGACCGAAAAAGATTAACTCAATAGTTTCAAAAGTGAATTTTCGGTGTAAGAGCATTCTCATCAGTCTCAATAAATTTTGAGTCAAATTGTAACCCAAATTCACTTTTGTTATTTTAGCTAGTCACCTTTTTAGTACTCACTGTATCAAACTCTTTATTCGAACTCAATCTTATTAAAATATTAATTTCTTATTGCATTTGTTATTTTTTTTTATTTTTTTATTAAATTGATGAGATGCCACCTAAACAATTCTTAAAAAAAAAATAAAAATGCTGCAGACCGGCCGGTCGACCGGTTAGGCTAATTTTGGACATTTTTTTTCTTCTGCTACAAGTACTCACGGGACATCCGGTAAGATTTCCAGATGGATGACCGGTTTAAAGATTTTAGTCCAGTTTTGCTCCATAAAAGATAATAAAATTTATTAAATTGATGAGATGCCACCTAAACAATTCTTAAAAAAAAAATAAAAATGCTGCAGACCGGCCGGTCGACCGGTTAGGCTAATTTTGGGCATTTTTTTTCTTCTGCTACAAGTACTCACGGGACATCCGGTAAGATATCCAGATGGATGACCGGTTTAAAGATTTTAGTCCAGTTTTGCTCCATAAAAGATAATAAAAAATCATGTAACTAATGAACAGTGGTTCAACAAAGTTGTTGATGTACTGTAGCAAATACAATAAAAAGTTAATTTAGAAAAAATTTGTTGAGACTGATGGAAAACAAATTTGATGCTGATGCTCTCTATAATAGCTTCAAAACTATTGTAGAGAGTCTGATGCGGATGCTCTACAACAACCATGAACAGATCAGCTCACAGATTAACTGAATAACTAATACAGTTGAGTTGGTTAGGTTGTTAGTTTACTACAATTAACAAACTGTTAGATGTTGAGTTTATATAAACCATGATTAGGATACAAGACTTGATTGTATATATAGATCAAGTACACTATTGTATTAATTCAATGAATTCAATAATACAAAATCTCTTTATGGTATCAGAGTCGCTCTTGCTTCAACAAGCTGTGATCCTTCTTCCATAGCAGATCTGTGATCCTTGGTCAAATGACAGAATTACAATTGTCTTCGTCAATGGTTGATTCGCCTCTTCCATCAAATCTTTCTCTTCTCATTTTAAATCTGAGTTCGTTTGTGACTGTTAAGTTGGATTCATCCAAATACATCATCTGGAAGAATTAGTTGCTTAATATACTGAAAGCAACAAAACTCCTTTGTTATGTTGATGGATCGAAGAACTGTCTTTCTCCTACGGTAGTTGATTCAAGCAATGAAGTAATTCTGAATCCAGAACATGCACAATGGTTAACCATTGATGCACATCTACTAAGTTACATTACTCTATCTCCAGCAATTTTCACCTCTGTTTTCCATTGCACAACTACTTATGAGGTTTGGTTTGTTCTTGAAAAAAGATTCACCTCCTTATCTCGATCACACATCCATCAATTAAAGAATCAGTTTGGTCGATTGACTAAAAAAGGATCCACTATGGAGGAATATTTTTCTCAAATCAAAGCCATTGCAGATCAATTGGCATTAGTTGCTTCTCTTGTGAATCATGAAGATTTAGTTCTCTTAATTCTCAATGGTCTTCCTGATGAATACAGTGCATTCAAGACCACAATTCGAGCAAGATCAGATCAAATTTCCATGGAGTCCTTGTGCTCTTTACTTTGTTCTGAAGAGATTCATGTTGAACATGCTCTTAAGCATACTTATGCATTTGAAATTTCGTTTGCTTATACAACCACTAGTGGTCATAGATCTTATTCTTCAAATTTTAGGTCTTCTGGAAATAATTCTGGTCCTCCTAATTCTAGAGGAGGTCGAGGCTATAGAGGCAATTTCCATGGAAATGGGGGCCGATTTTGTAGAAATTTTGAAAGAGGAGGAAGGCTTTCTGGTTTTCAACAGTCTCAGCAGTCTCATCAATGTGCTTGATAACTTGTTTCTCTTTTTTCCTCATCTACTGTTATCTGTTAGATTTGTGGCAAAATGAGTCATTTTGCCTTACAGTGCTGGTACAGAATGGATAATTATTTTCAGTCTCATTCTCGATCTACTCTTAAAGCTTATGCTATCTCTGTATCATCACCTTCACCACAAGGTACCTAGTACATTGATTCCGCAGCCTCTGATCACATTACTAATGATCTGACTAATTTCTCTTTACATGATCCCTATCATGGTCCAGAACAAGTCACTATGGGAGATGGTTTCTCACTTCCTATTCATAATACAGGTAAAGACATTCTTCCAACATCGTCTCCTCTCATTCTTAACAAAAATCTCCATGTGCCTTCCATTTTTTCTAATTTGCTCTTTGTTCACCAACTCACTTCTGATAACAACTGTTCTACCACTTTTGATGCCAATACCTTTACTATTGAGGACAAGGCTGCCAATAGAATTCTGCATAAAGGTTGCCATTCTAATGGTCTTTATCAGTTTCCTCTTTCTCCATCTAGTTCACAGCCAGCTTCACATCCAACTACTTGCTATCACAGTATTTCTACTTCTGCACCTAATTGGCATTTCAGATTAGGCCATCCATCATTCAAGAAACTTCAACACATTGCTACTACTTCTAAACTTTCTTCCTTTTCACACACTACCACTGGTTTATGTTCTCATTGTTGTCTC